TCTATCTATCTATCTATCTATCTATCTATCTATCTATCTATCTATCTATCTATCTATCTATCTATCTATCTATCTATCTATCTATCTATCTATCTATCTATCTATCTATCTATCTATCTATCTATCTATCTATCTATCTATCTAACTATCTATCTATCTATCTATCTATCTATCTATCTATCTATCTATCTATCTATCTATCTATCTATCTATCTATCTATCTATCTTTCTATCTATGTGTATGGACTAGGAAAATCCATTTATATAAAAAAGTCTATTGAATTTGAAAAACTATTAGAATTTTTCAAAAGTATCTATGTTATTTATTCCTTTTCATTGTCATTCTTTATTTCCTCCGAATTGGTTAATGAATGTTACAACAGTTTTTTGTGACATTACCTTTTTATATGGTATTTATTACATAAATTGAAGATTATTGGGTGTTTATCCGATGTATCTACTAAATACCCTTATTCATTAACACTCTGTTCTTTCTTATTTATATTATATAGATTTTTCAACAACAAAAACAAAAAAAAAACTTTTTTTTTTCTCATTCCCAATTGATGTCATAGAAACATTTTCATTTATCGATTAATGAATATGAAATTATTTTTATTTTCGTTATTTTTACATAGTAACTAAAAGTGTGATGCGTGCTACTTATATTGATATAAGTAGTATATGACGCGAGTCAAGATTGTAATGTCTTGCAGCGGAAAATGGGGAAGATCAAGAAAGGAAGAACGGGAATAGAAAGCAATTGGTATGGACATGCAAGATCAACGAAGTTCGAGACAATTACTGAGCATTTTGCAGATTTAGTATTATATTATGATTTTTCTATTTTAACAAGTAACTCTGTAATGTTGTGCTAAATATAATTCGGTTGTCCTCATCTGTGCTCTCCTTCACTACAAAAGTATTACATTTTATTCTATATGAATAGGAAGATTTTTTAAAAATGTGTTATTTGGACAATCTTAATTGATTTGATTTATGATCCTACCCCCCCTCACGAGATTCGAACCCAGGACCTATCAATCTCACGCGCGCGCAAGCGTTTAACCATTAGACCACTGAATTGGTCGGCATCTAACGGTGTTAATGTTTAAATTCAACCAATCTACGAAATTACGCCACCATCAAATCTCGCGGAGGGGGGCGGAATTGTTGATGAGCACTTTTGAGGAGTCTCACAATAGGACGAAATAGCCGTCCAGTGTTTCCAGGTTTTCCATGGTGATCTAGCTTTAATTGACTAATGATTTCAACTATTGAAATGACTAAAATCTCTACAAAATCCCTTCTGATTTGATTTAATTATATATTTTTAAATTGTTCAATTCATTAATCGATTAAAGCTAGACGATTATGGAAAACTTGGAAGTAGTGAATGGTTATTTCATCTTAGTAGGAGACTCCTTAACACTGAGCATCCATGATTCTGTACATTAGACTCAAACCTAGAAATTTGGGTTATCGCATGAGAACGCTTAACCTTTAGAATATGCATGTGTATCGAAATATTTCTATTACGTTCTGCTTCGATATTAGATCAATTTACAATGGAAAAACAAGATACAATAGATTCACATACCCTAGATGATACTTAGTTTTAAAATTTTCCAATCAAGTGAACAGTATATTTACTTTGAAAAAATCTTCAGTTCAACAGATTATAGTTTAAGAGTGATAGGTTCTGAGTTTGAATTCTGTGAACATGATCTTGAATGCTCACCGCTAAGAAGTCATATATTAAGATGAAATGACTATCTAATGATTCCAGGTTTTTTATAATTGTCTAGATTTGATCAACTCATAAATTCAACTATTTAATATTATTACAATCTGTACAAAAGTGTTTCGGTGGATACGTTTATGAAACTGTATGAAATACAGTTAGAAGGATAGTTAATATAAGTTTTTCTAGAAAAATGAATATATTACTTAAAAGCATGTTGATTATGAACTTTTCTCTGTTAATACATTTGTTTATTTGAATATTAGTACAAATGGGGCATCAAATATATATGCGCCACACAAGTCATTTGATTTGTGTGTGAGCTGTCATATTGCTCGAATGTTCAGACTGAAGCAGGTGATTGTCTTAGGAGGCCACACATTGAGCCTTTGAATTAAAGGTCTAATCCACAAGACAGTGGAGCAACATCAGAAGATGCGCTCACGTGGTAGCCGGTGACCAACAACAGGTTCATACGCCATTTGTTTTCTTCGGGATCCTGGAGCCTATGTACGCCATTGGTTTGTAATCGGGGTTTTCCAACTCCCTTAAGTGAACTCTCTGTGTCCACTAATCCGGTTAACGGGCCGGACATTCGCTTTTCGTCCTCTTAATTTGGTAATCAACAACTTCACGACGAAAAGACAATGAGTAGGACTTCCCTGGAAGTGGCTGTATACATGTGGCCATGTGAGAGCATTTCGAGAGGGAGAACCGAATCTCCCGACCCTCTTCCGTATCAGAGTATTTGGGGGAGAGCTCTCTGCTAGTGATTTATTATTGAAGTTGATAATAGACTAAGCATCCCTAATCTTAATGTTAAACCGATACTTTAGAAAGGTCTATTTATATAAATTCTTTATGAATTTAGCATTTAACAAGCTTCTACAATTCGATTCTTGTTAGTACAGTGAAAAATTTGGAATATCTCTCTCATTTAACGTATAAGTTTATCCAAGTTAACATGGTATATTAATCATCTTTTTTGTTTCACAATCTTCAAATGGTGCAGTTTGACTTAATCCTGGCCATATTTGGGTTCATTAATTTGAATATGTAATTATAGAAACTGAAGAGAATTTCACATGGTATTAATTGCTTGAATTTTCCCATTGTTGTTTAGGACTGCAGTTGATCCAGCTGACGATTCTTAAACAGGGCGAAACGCGCATCGAATTGGATTCCACTAATAGCCATTATTCATCCAAGTTTATAATGCTTGTGAATTAAGGCATTATCGAAGCAATTTGCTCAGGGTGCACATATGTCAACAAGAGACTGATCAATTGCAGATCTAAACATCAATGGAAAGATTCAAGTAATAAACAATACCAAGTGAATTAAAACTTCACCCTATTGCACAAGCGTGTTGCTATTAGGACTCAAAGCTAAGTGGATGATCCTGGATTTGAGTCCGAGAGTGAAGACCAACTCTGAGATGCAGGTAAATCGAGCTGACGAGTCCAAAATGGGACGAAACGTGCATCCTGGATTCTACTGCTAGTCACCATCCACCTCTGTTTTTAATTACTTCATTATTGTTATCAAAGGGGAATGACACATTTCCAATATGATAATTAATTACTATAAATTACTGATGTATTCTAAATTGTAATTGAGGAACATACTATACTATATCCAATATTAACATTCATCTTCTACTCAGTTGAATTGTGGTGTGTGTTACCGACGCCGATAGATATAAGTAAGAGTATGTATCATCAATCGAAAGTGAAATACCTAGCGACAGAAGATTGAGAAGATCAAAGGAAATAGGACTAGAATAAAGAATGAAACGAAAGAACAATGAAGTCTGATCAATTCTGATCATTTTTTAACTAACGACCAATCATAAACAACAATGTAGGTTATAGAAGTAATTCACATGATCGTTCAAGTCATCACACCTAACAACAGACAGGGGAGAAATGTAGTATGGTGAGTAACATAACAACCAAAACAAAGACGTAAACTATGACAGGTTTAAGTTTAACAATAACCAATCAACACGTGTTACGTATGCCTGAACACCGATTGCCACGACACGTAATGTTGACTAGAGTAGGAGATGGTTGAAAGAAATTAGGGTTGGCCAAACCAAAACGTGGCATCAGTGCTTGAAGTCATTTTGGTACATTCAGACTACTTGGTTGGGGTCCGCGTGACTATCGTAACCAATGATTGGAGACTCTTAGTGAAATGGCTCAGAAACGATCACAGTGGCGTCGGTGTATACACTCCCTGTATTCCCTCAAACTATGATATTAAAATCGCTTCATATCTTCCATTCTACGAACTAATTCTTTCCTTTATTTATTACACCATTGAGTTAACTGCTTCTATGAATCCGGTGTTCATCTAGTTGTGCTAATGAGTTATGGCAACTTGAACCGATGCATATATGTGCCTGGTCTAAAGTTGTAGATGACTGACTGCTGACTGAGGTCTACGAGACAAGGTGTGAACCATATGCGGAGAAATTCGAACACTTCCTCTGAAGTTTGTACTGATAATGTCGTTCAGAAGAACGATGAAAGCTTCAAGATCAAACCATCCAGCTCACAGAACAAAACGACATCAATATGAGTAGAAAAATAACACCATTTGCAAAGGTTAGATTAATATAGAGAATTTATTATAAAAAGAATAAATTAGATGGGAGACGACAACGAAAATTCAGGACCTAGTAGGAGAACCTTTTTAATTCAACATCTTCAAATATTATTAAATCGTGATAATCTAACGGTTGAATTCATGAACCCATTGAAGCTAGACTACCATGAGTACCCGGAAGCACTGGACGACCGTTTCGTCCTAGTATGGGACTTCTCAGCAGTGCTCATTCACGACCCCGCACTCAGGACTCGAACCCTGGACCCGTCGGTCTCCTGCGCGAACGATTAACCTCTAAACCACTGAGTTAGCCGACACCCAACAGTGTTGATGTCTAACTTCAATCAATCCACAAAATTACACCACCATTCTTTATTGTCTTCAGTGAATTACTGTCTCACAACAGACCCAGTTGAAATCTACTGGTCACGACTTCTCACTAGTATTGCAAAAAATACCTTATGAAGCCTGTCACTAGTAAGCATATGATCAGAAGAGGGTTTTTGTGGATATTTTAGTAATTTGATAATTGTGATAAAAAACAAAACAAAACAATGGATCTCAAACAAGCATCCCACATCTATCATTACTCTTTATTCGAATACTCAATGACTTCATGCATTAACATCATATCTTTTAGTGAAAACTATTTCACTTAAACAGTATTAAAAATATCATGAGTATTTCAGTAGGAAAAGACGATAGAAATGGATAGGACATACATTACGCAAATCATCAAACTGCATCACGAGGCAAGCCCTGACTTGGAATCCTGAAAGGAAGCGGAAAAGTGGAAAAGTGGCCAAAGAACATATTACGTTGGGAAATAGAATCAGATATGAAAAAGATGAATAACAACTGGAAGGAGCTGGAAAGGATTGCCCAGGACAGGGTTGAATGAAGAATGCTGGTGAGCTGCCTATGCTCCTTCACAAGGAGTAACAGGCGTAAGTAAGTAATTAAGTAAGAGTATTTCAGTAATAGTATTTTTTTTATTAAAAATGCATGAATATGTATATGATATTACTAATAATTATGAAAAGAAATATAAACAAAATTGAATAAGTTTTGATGATTTATATACATGAACTATTATTGTGAATCAAATGTTTGGCATGCATACATTCACACACACATAGACTCGATCGAGCAAACAAACAACTCCATAGGCTTTGTTCTTTGAGTTGAATGATTTGTTCAAGAATAAAACTTTATCCAAGACCATTCAACTGAACTATAAAATCTTCTTCTTCATCATCATCATCTTCAAATCATATAAACATTTATTGAAAGGAATCATTTTAAAGAGGACAGCAATAACAAAGAACTTGTTATTCAGATTAAACATTAAATAGTTGACTTTGTATTTTAACTTTGAATAAGTTCTAATAGAAGTGATTTTAATAAACGTGCTTCATATGTAATAGTATTTTGTCCTGGATGAATTTTCTGTGGTTCAATTGGTTGTTCAATAATCACTTTTATATTACGTCCATATACTAAAATATAATCAATGAAATGACAATATTAAGTGAATTCTTCAATAGAAATAATGAATAAAGATTGATTTCAACAGTTGAGATCATGAGTCCATTGAAACTAGACCACCATGGAAAACCTAGATGCACTGGACGGTCGTTTCATCCTATTGTCGGACTCCTCAGCAGTGCGCATCCACGACTCCGCCTCGCAGGATTCCAACCTAGGACCTATCAGTCTCGCGACAGGCGCTAAACCAACTAGATCACTGAGCCGGCATCTAACGGCGTCAATGTCTAACTTCAACTAATCCACAAAATTGAGCAACACATCCACCATTGTCATCAGTGAGTTACTATCTTATAACTGACCTGGCTGAACTCCACTGGTCATTGCTTCTCACTAGAACTCCAGGATATACCTCTTGAAGCCAGTCACTACTGAGCATATGTTAATTAATATCAGAAGGGGTTTTGTGGCGATTGTAGTAATTTCAACAGTTGAGATAAATAATAATAATAATAATAATAATAAATAGTGCCTTTCATAAATGTTTCAAGGTATAATCAGTGATTTGTTATAGTAGAAACAATTAACATTTATAAGTAAAGATGAATAGTGGCTAGTAGTGGAATTCAGTTTGATACACGTTTCGTCCCATTTGGGACTCGTCAACTTGATGTAGCTACATCTCAGAGTTGATGTTCATTTTGGGACTCAAATCCAATACCATTCACTTCAAATGCCATTGTGTTATCCACTAAGCTACTGAATATTAACAGCCACTTGCTTGTGAAATAGGGTGAAGTTTTAATTTAATTGGTACTGCTTGCTTGTATCTTTTCATTGATGTTTAAAACTGCAATTGATCAGTCTCTTGTTGACATATGTGTACCCTGTGCGAATTGCTTCGATAATGCCTTAATTCACAAGCATTATAAACTTGGATGGATAATGGCTAGCAATGGAGTCCAGGTCAATACACGTTTCGTCCTATTTGAGACTCGTCAGCTGAATATACCTGAATCTCATAGTTGATCTTCACTCTCGGACTCAAATCCAATACCATTCAATTTAAACACCATCGTTTTATCTACTTAGCTACTGAGACCTGATAGTAACACGCTTTTGTAATGGGATGAAGTTTAAATTCACTTGGTACTGGTTACTTGTAACTTTTCATTGATGTTAAGGATTGAAATTGGTCAGTCTCTTATTGACATATATGCGTATATACCAATAAGTTCTAAACATCAGTGTGAAGATTCAAGTAAACAACAATACCAAAATGAAATGAACAATTATGAATAATAAACTCATGTATAGAAAGATTAGAACATTCATTCTATAGAGAAAGAGAGACACTATCGAGGTCAAAGTAAGTTGAATATAACTTGTTGATTGTTAATAATGGGATAGATATTGTAAATGTTGGAACTAGTTTTTAGAAATAGTATCATTAATGACTTTGTTGTACATTTATTAAGTAACTAGATTACTATGTACATATATGGATATCCTGTTTATCACACGATTTCAGTTGACTTATTAACTATGGTTATATGATATACAGTTATAATTTTGTTGTCAGTCTATTATTTACAATCTCCACACCCCTTCATTTATAACTACCTCCTCTATAATTTTATGGGTAATATGGTCTGGTATGTTTGTATATTAAACAATATCTATTTGAAATATAAATATATCGTAAAGGTTGGTTACTAGTTCTGGACTCAAAGGTGGACAAATAGGAACCTAGTTGCCGGCCTATGGACAGTAGTGATAAACGAGTGTGTAATTAACCAAATCAGAGATACTACACTATGGAGTATATATATTAGGTTGAATTAGAATCAGGATTCTGATTGATAACTGGACACTTGATATTAGATAACGGTCACAAGACATAAGATAAACGTAACTGATAAACTGTTAGAATCCAAGAAAGCTATAAACAGCTGTTTTATTGAAGTTCGTAGGTTCATTATAGTGTTCACACATAACGTTCAAGGTTTTCTAGTGGGCACATGTTATAACTTGTGGCAATGTGCCCTATTAATATATAACGCAAAGATACTGCCAATTGGAGAACAGTGGCTTATCGACAGGACAAATGGGGCATGAAACCCGTACAAACAGTTTACAATCTTTATCTGTCCTACACGACACTTCTAACATATTTCAAATTGTGACACTGTATGGTACCATCTCTGTCTTGACTAAATTAATTCTATCGGTCAATAATTCTAACCAGATTTGTTGTTGACAAATCAAAAACATACGTTAGGAAAAACTTAAGGAATCTTTCAAAATACTTCTAATGAAACACTGAATTTCATGAATTGTTTCCTTAGCTTACTGCTAATATATAGTCCGTTTCGTCCCAGTATGGGACTCCTCAGCAGTGCGCATCCACAATCCCTTGGTTCGAATCACGCAGGCGAGATTGTGGATACGCAATGTTGAGGAGTCCCATACTGGGACTATACAACCGTTCAGTGCTTCCTGATTTTCCATGGTGGTCTAACTTTAGCTGACTTATGAATTCAACAATTAAATTACTACAATCTCCCTACTACAAACTCCCTTCTCATATTAAATATTGTCATCAAATGATATACTTTAGTTGTAAACTTGTCTGTTCAGATCATGAATCACTTTTCATAGGATTGTAGTGACTCACATTTATCACGAGAACACGACTGGTTTAATAAAAACAATCATTATTATAACCAACTGTACCAGTGTTTGTTTTAATGTGCTTTTGTTTGACTGTGCTAATGACAGCTATTTTGTGCTTCCATTCTTATTCTCACACTTTGATTGTGACCTCGCGCGAATTCGGTTACGTTCTGTAACCAAGCTTGTATCCTGGCACGATCTCGGTATCATTTCGATACCACGAGATCGCCAGCAAATATATATTTCGATTTGGTCCATTAATTGCCTTCTGGTATTTGGCTTCTCGAGGATTTTATGGATTTATTTGGTTATGTTCGACCTTCGCCTTCTGATTTATTTGGCACGTGTTTCTCTTGGTAGCGGTGTTTATAGTCAACCGCGACTCGACGCCACGCTACAGGATCAAGACATTTATATTGATTGATCAGTAAGTAATAAAAACCCTAGTGTTGGTTCAATCTTTTGAACCCTATAGAAAATATCAGCTATGTGAAGATAACAGAAACATTTTTGCTAACAAATGTTAACTAGAAAGAAACCTGGGGTCCGATATCAATCATAAAATAAATAAGTCAATGACAGATTTTAAACATTAAATATCATTTGACTTACATTCACAATGTTCTAAAAATTGTATGCACTCCATGAGTACAGCATCTCTTAATAAAATCATATGTTTTGACATATTTTCAATCAGTGATAGGAAACAACGTTTAGCATAATACCTGAGAGAGAGAGAGAAAGTGAAGGGAAATAATGATAATATTATTATTTACGTAGTTTAACTTACCAACTGATCTTAACTAGACAACCATCTCAGTCAGTCTGTCATCTACAACGTTAGACCAGGCACATATATGCCATACCTCATTAGCACAACAAGATGAACACCGGATTCATAGAAGAAGTTAACTCAATGGTGTAATAAATAAAGGAAAGATGTTATGTAAGAATATAATACAGAATGAAATAATTAGTTCGTAGAATGAAAGATATGAAGTGATTTTAATCTCATAGTTTGAGGGAATACAGGGAGTGTATACACCGACGCCACTGTGATCGATTCTGCATCTACCAACATGGATAATGCCAGAAGTAAGTGACTTCAAGCACCAATACTACGTTTTGGTTTGACCACACCGATCTTTCTCCGGTCCGTCTCCAACACTAGTCAGCATTGCGCGTTGTGGTAATTGGTGTTCAGGCATACGTAACACTTGACCCAACCATCTCAGTCGATGAAGATTCACAACTTTATTGACGGATTTACGATCATTTAATAATTAATTCCAGCAAATGCGAGCAACAACTGTCTAAAACTTGGAAGCTTTGAAAGGTGTTTCAACCTGGTAGGTGACTCTTCAGCGTTACACATTCACAAAATCCCAGTCGAGAATTGAACCCAGGACTTAAGTCCATGAACCTCTAGACTAACGAGCTGCCATCTAGAGGTCTTAATATCTAACATCGTAGGACGCTAACCTTGATTCCTTGATATGAGGTTGTTAAAGTGTATTGCTAAGGATGAAAAAATCATCGAATTCGTTTACGTTTCCAATAGTCGCTAAGCTAAGATCCGACAAAAAAACTCTTTATACTAATACTTACTTACGCCTGTTACTCTTTGTGAAATACCATACGCCACTCACCAGCATTCTCCATTCAACTTTGTCCTGAGCAATCCTTTCCAGTCCTTTACAGTTCCTATTCAGCCTTCTCATATCTGATTCTATTTCTCGACGTAATGTGTTCTTTGGCCTTCCACTTTTCCGCTTCCCTTTACGATTACAAGTTATCATTCGCCTCGTGATGCAGTTTGATGATTTGCGTGTTATATATATCCTATCCATTTCCATCGTCTTCTAATTTCTTCTTCAGCTGGAAGTTGGTTTGTTCTCTCTCACAGAAGGCTGTTGCTGATGGTATCCGGTCAATGGATGTTGAGTACCATGCGTAGAAAGCTATTTATAAATACTTGTACCTTCTTGATGATGGTTTTAGTATAGTTGTCCTAGTTTCAGATCCGTACAATAGAACTACCTTGACGTTCGAATTGAAGATTCTCACTTTGTTGTTGGCTTGTAAACAGTTGTTTTGAGTTCCGTGTGTTCCTCAATTGTTGGAATGCGGCCCTTGCTTAGCCAATCCTCACCTTTACGTCTGCATCTGATTCTCTTTGTTCATCGATGATGCTTTCCAGTTAATGAACGATCTTCCAGAGTTTCGCCATCAAGTGTGATTGTATTGTTGTTCTCCGTGTTGTATTTGAGGACCTTGGTTTTCCCTTTGTTTATGTTGAGGCCTAGTGATGCAGAGACTGCAGCTTCACTGACTGTCTTTATCTGCATTTGTTCGCGTGTATGCGATAGGAGGGCTAGGTCATCTGCGAAGTCCAAATCGTCTAATTATTTCCGAGCTGTTCATTGTATGCCATATTTTCCCCCAGATGTCGAGATCTTCATAATCCAGTCGACCACCAGAAGAAAGTGGAAGGGAGAGAGTAAACAGCCTTGTCTGACTCCGGTCCTCACTTGGACTGCATCTGTCAGCTGTCCTCCATGCACGACCTTGCACTGTAGTCCGCATATGAGTTCCGGATTATATTGACAATCTTCTCAGGAACTCCGTAGCGTCGAATAAGTTTCCATAACGTTCTCTTATCTACACTGTCAAATGCCTTTTCATAACCAATGATGTTGATGTACAGTGACGAGTTCCACTCAACTGACTGTTCGACGATGATCCGTAGTGTTGCAGTTTGATCTGTGCACGACCTATCCTTACGGAATCTAGCTTGTTGATCTTGAAGTTAGGCGTCTACTGTGTCTTTCATCCAGTCCAGCAAAACTCTGTTAAAGAATTTCCCTAGTACTGACAGTAATGTGATTCCTCTGTAGTTCTCAAATTTGCTCAGATCTCTTTTCTTTGGAATCTTGATGAGATGTCCTTCTTTCCAGTCCATCGGCACTTGTTCCTCCTCCCAAATCTTTTTGAATAGAAGATAAAGCATGCTTGTGGTTGCTTCGATGTCTGATTTCAGTGCTTCAGCTGGTATGTCGTTGCGTCCTGCTGCTTTCCCGTTCTTGATTTGTCTGACGGCCATTCTAATTTCTTCCGTAGTTGGTGGATTGACATCTATAGGAAGATCTATGTGTGCTGCTTCGATGTCCGGTGGATTCATTGGAGCCGGCCTATTCAGGAGTTCCTCGAAGTATTCTACCCATCTGTTACGCTGTTGTTGAATTTCGGTGATTGGCTTGCCTTCTTTGTCTTTGACCGGCCTCTCTGGTTTACTGTATTTCCCTGATAGTTTCTTCGTTGTATCGTAAAGCTGTTTCATATTTCCTTCTCTAGCAGCTTTTTCTGCCGTCGTTGCTAGTTCTTCAACGTATTTCTTCTTGTCGGCTCTAATGCTCCTCTTCACTTGTTTGTTTGCTTCTATGTATTCAGCTTGTGCTTGGACTTTCTCAGCTCGTGTTCGGCTGTTGTTTATTACTGCCTTCTTGTTCTTCCTTTCTTTGATCTTGTCCAGTGTTTCTATAAAGATCCATTTTTTATGATGGTGCTTCTTTAAGCCAAGAACCTCTTGACATGTTGAAGTTAATGCTTTCTTGACGCCTTTCCAGTTGTCCTCCATAGTAGTTTCTCCTTCCTTCAGTAGGTCCTGAAAGGCTTGGAACCTGTTGTTGAGAGTTATCTTGAATTCATTGAGTTTGTCAGTATCTCGAAGGAAGGCTGTATTGAACCTTTGTATTGCTGTTTGTCCACTTGTCCAATTCTTTTTTAGCTTCAGTTTTTAACTGGCCATAACTAGGTGGTGATCTGAAGCTATGTCAGCTCCTCTCCTGGTTCTCACATCTTCCATTGTCCTTCGGAATTTTTTGTTGATGCAAGTATAATCTATCTGGTTCTCTGTGGTGTGGTCCGGTGAGATCTATGTAGCCTTGTGTATACGCTTGTGTGGAAATATTGTGCCGCATATGACTAATTTATTGAATGCAAACGGATTTGCAAATCTTCCCTCATTTTCGTTTCTCTCTCTTGATCCATGTCGTCCCATGATATCTTCATATCTGGTGTCGTCTATTCTGACTTTGGCATTTAGATCTCCCATCAGAATAGTGAGATCCTTTCTTGGGTACTTCTCTATGATTGATTACAACCTCTCATAGAATTGATCTTTGATATCGTCGTTGCTATCATTGGTGGGTGCATAACATTGGATAATATTCATTGTGATCCCCTCCTCCTTTGTTTTGAATGATGCTTTAGTGATTCTGAATCCATGAGATTCACATCCTACAAGTGCATTTCGTGCTACTTTGGACAGCATTAAAGCAACTCCCTGAGTGTGTGGAGCATTTTCCTCTTCGTGACCGATGTATAGCAGCATCCCTCCCGTATTTAGCTTTTGTTGTCCAGCTTGGATCCAATGGGTTTCGCTGATTCCCAGTACTGCCAAGCTGTATCTCCTCATTTTCGTTGCTATTTGACTGATCTTTCCGGTCTCCCACATTGTCCGTACGTTCCATGTACCTATAAAAATTGTTGCTCTGGTTGTCAGAAGGTGCATCGGCCTCGTGACTTCCGAAGGAACTCGGCTTTCACCATGAAGCGTCATAATTCTTCTAAATGAAAACCTTCCAACTCCCAGGGCATAGTTTAAATGGTTTGAATTATTTTTTTCTGGTAAGCGTTTTTAGCGAGTTAGTTTTCTACGGGATTGAGTCGCTAACCCCATGCCCAACCCTCCTCCTTTACCCGGGCTTCGGACCGGCAGTAACTCCAGAAGAGCTACAGGCGGAGTTCCCTTTACTAATAATATGACCATTATTAATAATTTCTTTCGAAAGAAACAAATGTCAATTATAAGCAAAGATCTATAGTGGCTAGCAGTAGAGTCCAGGACGCGCTTTTCGTCTTATTTGGGACTTGTCAGCTGAATGTACCTACGATGGCGTTTGAAGCGAATGGTACTGGGTCCAAGTCCCAAAGTGAACATCAACTCTGAGATGCAGGTACATCCATCTGATGAGTTACAAATAGAACGAAACGTGCGTCCTAGATTTCACTGCTATCCACTATCCATCCATTTTTGCTTATAATGCCTATAAATTAGGGCAATGTCGAGGCAATACGCACAGTATACACATATTCCAATAAGAGATCGAATAATGGCAGTCCTAAACATCAATGGGAAGATTCAACTAAACAACAATACCAAGTCAATTAAATGTCAATTATGTTAGATAACTATGAAGATAGAAAAAAAATTACGTCATTTTTTGTTTTTTTATTACTACACATCTGCTGATCAGTGTAATTCATTCACAACTAGAATAGCATTAATATCGACCAGTACATTAGTAATGATTATACAAGAATATATCTCTTCTCTTATTAGAAAACTTAGTTTGATTTCTTTTTGTCTGTGAAACTTATGTAATCATATGTGTGCGTAATAGAATTACATAATACACCACAATCAGTCAGTCAGTAACAACGTAGAACTTTGTACGTACATACATCAGTTCGATTTGTCATACCACATTAGCACAGTGATACAATTGTCGATTCGAATCTCGTAGTGCTAGAGGTATTAAAAGTATAAGCAGTAATCGGAAACATTAGGGTTTGAAGATGTTATTCGAGGAGTATAATTCAGTGAAATAAATTTGGAAAGTAAAAAAGGGACCACAAATAATAAATTACTATGTACATGTATCATTAGAACTTTTTTTATTCTATACAAAAGTTGGGTAAAATCTCAACGTTTCGTTCAACAATCTGATCTAAGCTTTTGCAAAGAATTAAAACCAAATATTAAAATTATTATCAGAATGGATTTTGTAAAGTTTGTAGTAATTTTAATAGTTGAAATCATAAGTCCATTGAAGCTAGACCACTATGGAGGACTTCGAAGCACTGAAAGGCCATTTCGTCCTATTGTGAGACTCCTCAGCAGCGCGCATCCACGACCGCACCTAGCGTGATTCGAACCAAGGACCTATAGGTCTCGAGTGCGAGCGCTTATATATATATGTGAGTAAATACATAATTCTTTTGTTCACTGTATACCGAAAAGATCATTTAAATAAACGTTGACAATGTTTTGAAATAAGGGAGATCGTCAATCTGAGATGTTCAAAGTGTCCTATTAAGAGAAATCTGTCTAAATCCCTAATAATTTACTAGTCAAAATAATTATGTATCTATCCAACCAACTTTTGTTATTCACTTTTTCTATTGTACATCACTGTCTTTAAAAAAAATAATAGTTTTAGGATTTGATTATAAATTGATTGATGATACGGTAGATCTTCAGTGATCTAGACATGTTTTACCCATAAGGGGATGTAATACTAACTAATGTGATAACAAGCAACAAATAAGATTTTTACTTCAATTAATAGTATTATTCATCTTATCATCATCATCATCATCCAAATCATCATCATCATCCGAATCATCCTCATTATCATCGGCATCAACATCATCATCAACATCATCATCGGCATCATCATCTTGTTAATGTCATCTTTTATTGTTATGATATGAGATGGGACAACTTGAACTGATACACTAATGTCTAAGGTTCTACATAGTTTATGAATGATCGGTCAACTTGTTATTATCAGTGTTTATTTGTGTTTGTCTAGTTAATATCCCCGAAAAAATCAATAAATATTGATTAGTTCATATTTTCAGTTGATATATAGATACAGCACCAACTAAGTAAAAAATGAGAAAAAAAATAATGCCGATTAACACTTAGTGAATTTTGCATTGTTTCTACCTTGAAAATATTTTTTAAAGGAAAATACACAGGTATAGAGGTAGAAAGAATAATGATACATTGGACATAATCAGATATCAACCAGATTGGTAAAAAAATGGTTGTGATTTCTAAGGGATAAGACATATTTACTTACTTAATTACTACTGTTACACCTCGTGGAGACGCATAGGCCACATACCACCATTCTCCATCCAACTCTGTCCTGGGCACTTCTTTCTAGTTCTTTCCAGTTGTTATTCATCGTTTACATGTCTGATTTCAATTTTCGACGCAGTTTATTCTTTGGCCTTTCCTATTTCCGTTCCTCTTTAGGATTCCAAGTTAGCACTTGCCCCGTGATTCAGTCTACACAATGTATGTCCTATCCACTTCCTAATTTCCACTTTATCCGAAGGTTAGTTTGTTCTGTTCCACAATAGGCTGTTGCTGACGGCATCTGGACAACGGATATTGAGTATCATGCATAGACAATAGTTTATAAATACTTGTACCGTCTTGATGATGGTTTTAGTATAGTTGTCCTAGTTTCAGCTCTGTACAGTAGAACTGCCTTGACGTTCGTATTGAAGATTCTCACTTTGATATTGATTGACAGTTGCTTTTAGTTCCATAGGTTCCTCAACTATAAGAATGCTGTCTTTGATTTGCCAATCCTCACCTTTACGTCTGCGTCGGATCCTGCTTATTCATCGATGATGCTGCTCATATACGTGAAAGATTATACATCTTCCAGAGTTTCTCCATCAAGTGTGATTGTATTAATGTTCTCCGTGTTGTATTTAGGGATCTTGCTTTTTCCTTTGTGTATGTTGAGAGCCACTGATGCAGAGGCTGTTACTACACTCGTTGTCTTTATCTGCATTTGTTTGTGTGAAAGCAACAGAAATTGCAAGTCGTATACGAAGTTCAAATCGTCTAGATTTCTCTCATATATCGATGTTTTCATCATCTAATCGACCACTAGAGGGAAGAGAAAGGAGGAGAGTGTACAGCCTTGTTTGATTTCAGTTCTCACTTGGAATGTATCTGTTAGCTATCCTCCATGTATCAGATGATAATCTTTATTTCTCTTTCTCAATCTTTTCACTCAAGTAACCAGTTACACTCATATATAAAGACATTAAGAATCTGAATCACACACACACACACATACACACACACATATATAATGATCTACTTACCATGTATCTGGTCCTAATTTCTTTTGATATGGTTCTAAACTTTTCATAATACGACTAATACCAAAATCATAATTCCCTTTAGTACAATATAATGTACCAATTACTAAATTAATAATACATAAATGATAACATTTTTTATTAGAATAATGATGATTCAATGGATCTATTTCAACTCCTTCAAGAACTACTTCTTGATGTTGTTGTTGTTGTTGTTGTTGTTCTACTTCTTCTTCTTCTTTTTCTATTTTACGCATTAATTCTTCAGCATATTCATTTTGACTAGTCATTATATAGGTAACACATAAATTAGCTATAATAATTGCATTAATATTTAATAAATTTGTATATTGACGTTTTATAATGGGTTCATAAAAATTACATGCTTCTTTATATTTATTCTCTTGCATAAATAATACATGGGCAACATTTAATTTCCATATTGGATGATCATTACAAAATTCAACTGATTTACGAAAGATTTTCTCAACCTAAAGAAAGAAACGGAAGGTATCAAATAGATATGACATTCGATATATATGTGTGGAGGAGTTGAAATACTAACCTCAGGAGTATCTAAACTGAAGTAGCTAGTGGAGGTCATATTTTACAGTCTTTAAACTAGTGGATATAGAGGATTCATTTAGCTTACTAAATTACTTACTTACTTACGCCTGTTACACTTTGTGAAATACCATAGGCCACTCACCAGCATTCTCCATTCAACTTTGTCCTGAGCAATCCCTTCTAGTCCTTTACAGTTCCTATTCAGCCTTCTCATATCTGATTCTATTTCTCGACGTAATGTGTTCTTTGGCCTTCCACTTTTCCGCTTGCCTTTACGATTACAAGTTATCATTCGCCTCGTGATGCAGTTTGATGATTTGCATGTTATATATATTCTATCCATTTCCATCGACTTCTCCTAATTTCTTCTTCAGCTGGAAGTTGGTTTGTTCTCTCTCACAGAAGGCTGTTGCTGATGGTATCCGGTCAATGGATGTTGAATATCTTGCGTAGAAAGCTATTTATAAATACTTGTACCTTCTTGATGATGGTTTTAGTATAGTTGTCCTAGTTTCAGATCCGTACAATAGAACTACCTTGACGTTCGAATTGAAGATTCTCACTTTGGTGTTGGCTTGTAAACAGTTGTTTTGAGTTCCGTGTGTTCCTCAATTGTTGGAATGCGGCCCTTGCTTAGCCAATCCTCACCTTTACGTCTGCATCTGATTCTCTTTGTTCATCGATGATGCTTTCCAGTTAATGAACGATCTTCCAGAGTTTTGCCATCAAATGTGATTGTATTGTTGTTCTCCGTGTTGTATTTGAGGACCTTGGTTTTCCCTTTGTTTATGTTGAGGCCTAGTGATGCAGAGACTGCAGCTTCACTGACTGTCTTTATCTGAATTTTTTCGTGAGTTTGAAAATCTAGACCCCAAACTAATGGTGTACATGGGTTCCAGAATCATGAAGGAATAAATGATGTATGGAACTACTGTTGGTCATCATGGCGACCACGAGACTGCATCTATTTAGCTTGTTCCACTGTCTTGTGGATTAGACCTTTAGGTCAAAGGTTTCAGGTGTACCCCTTTAAGAAAACCATCTGCTTCGGTTTAGGCACCCTGGAAATATACCAGCTCTTACACAAATCGAATGATTTATATGGCGCATATCTGTTTGATGCTTTCTTATATCAATGCTTATGTGTTTAAACAAATAAATAAGAGGTCTAATCCACAAGAGAGTGGAGTAACGTAAGGATATGAAGTCAATTGGTAGTCGGTGACTAACGATTGGTTCATAAGCCAATCTTTCCCTCAGAATACTAGAGTTCACGAATACCATTGATTTGGAATCAGGGTTTTCTAATCGCTCTAGATGGATCTTGCATATCTACCAACCCGGTTACCGCATTGGACATTTTGCTTTTCATCCTCTCGACTTCCTGAACAACATTTATGCCGTGACAAAGCAAATAACAGAACATCTGCGGTAGTGGTTGCATGCACCTGATCATCTGAGAGCATTTTAAGAGCAATAGCTGACTATCCCTATTATCGGCCGTACCATGGCATTTGGGGGCAACAAAACAAAACAAAATAATCACTCAGTAAATCACTCTCTAATTAATCCACAATAAAACAAACTCCATTTTTAAAGATTAACGGAGTTTTGCTAAACGTTATTCATTTATTATCTAATATTGGTCTTGGATAACTATTGAATAGGTATGCATCTATATGCTTATAGTGCCCAGAATTCTTGAAGATCGTGTGTTTCAAAAAAAAAACATTTCCAGTTCTGAAATCATCTCAATAAGATTTGGGTAAATTGCATTTTGTTTCTGAGCCGTCGGTTAGATTGTGGGCAGTGATCACTAAACTTTCAGTCACACACGTTTATATCATGACCAATAGTTAAGACTGACTAAACATAAAAGCTATTGTCTTTCTTACAATAATTGTTTTCATCCTTGATCATTCATTTGTTAACTAAAACAGAACATATGATTATGGTATTCCCGATGCGTATTGCACATATAAATAACAGGTTTAATTTTCTAATATTTATTTACACAGTCAGTTGGCCAATGATTTTATCTTTTGAAATCATAAGCTATCATTTGTCAGCTTGGCTTTTCAGACGACTATCTGTAAGAAACTAAGCCATATTAAATCTGTTAATACTACTAGATTGCCTAGATTGAAATAAATAGGATGTGTTTAGAAAATGTGGAGGACCGCTGGAAGACGTACTCCGAATGAGGACCGGAGTCAGACAAAGCTACCTTCTCTCCTCTTTTCTCTTTCTTCCGATAGTTGATTGGATTATGAAGACATCGACATCTAAGGGGAAACACGGAATACGATGGACAGGTTGCATACAATTAGATGATTTATACTTTGCCGATGACCTGGCCCTTCTATATCATACACATCAAGAAATGAAGGTCAAGACAAACAGTGCAGCAGCAGCATGTGCATCAGTAGGCGTCAACATACACAAGGGAAAAAGCAAGATCTTCAAACACGACACAGAGTAAACCAACTCAATGTCACTTGATGGAGAAACTATGAAAGATGCACTCATAGACTTATCTCTCGCTCTTTGTGTAGTCTTGTGACGGAAAATGATCTTTTGACAATCTTCGACGTATTCATACTCCGTAAATGTGTCTAGTACTTACACTGTGACATACTTTCAGTATATAGATATACATATAAATAATCTCAATAGTTGAAATCATGAGTTAATTGAAGCTATACCACCATGAAAAACCTGGAGGCACTGGACGGCTGTTTCGTCCTAGTATGGAACTCCTCAAGAGTGCGCATCCACGATCCCGCCCCGCAAGATCCGAAAACAGGACCTACTAATCTCGCGCGCCCGAGCGCTCAACCATTAGACCACTGAGCTGGCCGGCATTCGACGGTGTTAGTGTCTTACTTCAAACAATCCACAAAATTGCGGCCGTCCAGTGCTTCCAGGTTTTCCATGGTGGTCTAGCTTCAATCGACTCATGATTTCAACTGTTGAAATATATATATATATATATATATATATATATATATATAAACAGCAACAATCTCTGTATATCTTTAATGTTTACCTGTTGATAATTTTCCATATCCCAATAGATTTTAGCTTGTTGCATCAATACTGGAATATAATTTTCTAATGCCATATCATATTCATGTACAGTAGTTCTAACTAATTCATCATTTTGATTTTGTCTAGCTTCTTGAATTATTTTTGTTAATCGTCTTAATTGTTCTGTATGTTTAATAGCCATTTGATCAAGACGACTTGAGTAAAAGATTTCAAAGAAAATCACAAAACAAAATAATTGCTGATTACTTCATCCATTACAAAACAAGTTTAGAAGATGATATTCAAACTGTCACCTAAATTATAGAACCTTCGACTATTCAGGTATTAACTAATTTTCCACATGTTCTTCATCACATTGTGTCAGGAGTGGAATTCGAACCTACGCCCACAGAGCGGACTGTGACTCGAATGCAGCGCTTTGAACCTCTCGGCCATTCTGACTAAACTAACTAATGCCTCAACACATTGTACCTATTTATATCTTCATTGAATCAACAATGGAATATTTCTTTAATACTTAATGCTAGTCAAATAACATTAGTTAAGTTGCAATGAATTTAATACTCTAAGTTAGATGACGTAATCTGATTGATGACGGTAATCTAAAAGAAACTCTGGATCTAGGATTCGTATTAACTGGGACATATCAGTGAGACATACCTGGAATTTTGAGGAAGTTTATGACTGCCTATTGAATGATAACCTGTGTCAAGCTAAAAGCCAGTAATTAATATTATCAACATGAACTATATTGCGATACTAGTATAATTCACAGTCGATATCATCTATAGGTTAGTATCTGGAGCATCTGGAACAATTGTTCCTCAAGGTCCTACCATGTCAGACAGATCGGTTGAAGAGCGGTAAAATTAAAAGCAGAAAACCCAAGATCCGAAGGCGAAGTCGTACTGCTGACTGTAGAGAGGTGTGACGGCAGAAAGGTGTTTCCTTCAGACAGCCAGCATGACAGCGATGCTGCCATCCCACAAGGAGGGCTGGGGTTAGAAAAGGTCGACATTAAAAATGCACACCACGTGTTGTCCCATGGATATTTGTCTCCGGCAGTAAGGTCTCAACAAGTACGGAGCTAACACGAAAATTACTCACAAAGAGGTCGTTTGTGACCGAATTCAAGCAGTTGTCCCTTGGGCACTGCGGTCACGCTCTCGGGTCACTGAGACCACCTTTAACCCAATTTCCTCTTCAGGTACCTCCCGAAGAACCTCTCTACTATGTGGGCAACCGGGAAGTGATAACCGCCCTCATAACTCTAACAGTACTTAAGGTCACTTAATATATACTATCAAATCAATCTCCATTAGGAGTTGGCGTTATTTCAAGAACAAATAAAGTGAAGAATTCTATCAAAGTTACTACTTGTAATATGAAAACCCATGTTCTGAGACCTGACACAGAATCGATCCTTTAAGCTGTCAAACTTATTGACAGTATAGCCTAATCTCTTAGATAAATTACAACATCCCACGGTTATTTTTTAATCAAACAATCAATGAATAATATTATACAAATTAAGTGGTTTAATGTTAAGGTTGTCATATAACATAATATTCACAATGAAAATGAAGTATAGTTGAAAATAAGTAACCAAATATTGTTGTATTCAGTTTCTCTGTCAATCAACATTCGTCAGTAAAGAATGTCTATAATCTTCAAGAGACTCGTTTATGATTGAGATCATGAACCGATTGATGTTAGGTCATCATTGAAAACCTGTAAGTACTGGACGGCAGTTTTGTCCTATTGTGGGACTCTTCAGCAGTGCGCATCTCAGATCCTGCTCGCGGGATTCTAACCCATGCCCTTTAGTCTCGCGCGCGAACGCTTAACCTCTAGACCATTGAACCGGCATCCAACGGTGTTAATGTCTAACCTCAACCAATCCACTTATTTATAGCGAGTAATTCTAACCCTTACTACGAGCAGGAGACGGTATTATTGATGAATTTGAGCCACACTTAACCTCCTACGTGACTGTGACATTTAAATTAAGTAGGAGTCAAGTTCGGCTTTGAATAGATCTTAAAATCTCACACCGAACATTACTTTCCTGCAGATCACAAGTACATCATACTGATGAGTACCAATTAACACAAAACTTAGGTTTAACCATCAAAACAGTGTGAAGAATATTGAATCATTTAATTTGGTAACTATATTACAAACTAACTGGTAGAAATTGTTCAACATTAAGTACAGACAAACATGACATTGATCAGCCGATGCGAATGAATAAACTACTGATGGGTGTCACCTGGGAGAAAGTAGACAGTGGTTAGTTTTTTTTTCAGATAGACTGATAGATAGTTGACAAGACTACAATTTATGGACAAACCAATCACGTATAAGATAAAAGGTCTCGAATTTTGGCGCGAAATTCACTCATCCATTTGAATCCATTTGGTATTATAGCTGATGTCATTTCGTGATAAAAACCCGAAATCTAATTCCTAATTTTAATCATAAACTGTAAATTATAATTCTAATTCCTCACATAGCTTTATAACCCTCATTTGATCTTGGTTATTAGGTGGATACTCTCAAGGTCGATCTAGCATCGCTCAGAGGTCGTTCATAAACTATAGTCTCACCGATCGTTTAACAGGTATCTGATGTGTCATATATATTTTCCTACCCTTGGTCATTGAATAATGAATATACAATTCGAAATGAATTGCTTATACTTTAATTTTGGTTGAAATGAAATATGATAGAATGGTTGTTGGCTTTGTATCTATAATGTAGAGAAAGTAATCATATATATATAATTAGATCTTGATGGAGTTTTGTTCTCTGAGCTGGATGGTTTTGTCGTAGAGCTTTCATCGTTCTTCTGAACGACATCATCAGCACAAACTTCAGATAAAAGTGAAGTGTTCAAATTTCTCCATATATAGTTCACAGCTTGTCCTGTAGATCTCAATGTTGATTGGTTCTTGTTGACCTTAAACCTGTAAACCATATGTGAAGAAATTCGTACACTTCACTTCTATCCAAAGTTTGTGTTGATGATGTCATTCAAAAGAACGACGAAATCTCCACAATCAAACCATCCAGCTTAAAGAACAAAACTCTGTCAAAATCATTCACTAGAGTTACAAATCTTCTCCACCATATTAGTTAGATCATCCATTGTTCATACTAAACAATTTAGTTTACTACTAGTTTAAAGACTAAATTAATCTTTTATTTCAATAAGTAAACTTACTTATAAGCATCTTGTGGAGCAGTTTGTCTAAGAATTACAGCTTCAATAAAATCAAATAAATCCGTTGATAAATATTCATAGGCTAATGTTGCATTTTCAGCTAATACATCAGCAGCTAAATCATAATATTCATATTTAATATAAAGTAATAAAAGATTAGCAAATGTTTCCGGTGGAAATGTTTCTTGTTGTAATAAAAATTGAAGTTTTTGAAAACCAATCCCAGGTTCTTTATTCATATTCATTAATGCTTGATTATGTAATGTGATATGATCAAGTTCATCTTCATTTCTTGGTGGCATATCTGTTAATGCTTCAGATGCTGATGTATAATTTTTTAAATTGAATTCAATAGCTGCCTTAAATGAGAATATCATTGAATAAAGACAATAGTTATTAAGTGGGAAATAAAGAATGAATACATATAAATGATTGTGACAATGAATCTGAACGATATCGTTCAACGTCTATAGCCACTGATAGTAGAGGGTACCCTAATTAGATAACCAACATGGGTGGACGATTTTATAGACCGATGTCACTCTTTGATTTTACTAATGTCAGATTCCGGTCAATCTGTTACTTACTTACTTACTTACTTACTTACTTACTTACTTACTTACTTACTTACTTACTTACTTACTTACTTACTTACTTACTTACTTACTTACTTACTTACTTACTTACTTACTTACTTACTTACTTACTTACTTACTTACTTACTTACTTACTTACTTACTTACTTACTTACTTACTTACTTACTTACTTACTTACTTACTTACTTACTTACTTACTTACTTACTTACTTACTTACTTACTTACTTACTTACTTACTTACTTACTTACTTACTTACTTACTTACTTACTTACTTACTTACTTACTTACTTACTTACTTACTTACTTACTTACTTACTTACTTACTTACTTACTTACTTACTTACTTACTTACTTACTTACTTACTTACTTACTTACTTACTTACTTACTTACTTACTTACTTACTTACTTACTTACTTACTTACTTACTTACTTACTTACTTACTTACTTACTTACTTACTTACTTACTTACTTACTTACTTACTTACTTACTTACTTACTTACTTACTTACTTACTTACTTACTTACTTACTTACTTACTTACTTACTTACTTACTTACTTACTTACTTACTTACTTACTTACTTACTTACTTACTTACTTACTTACTTACTTACTTACTTACTTACTTACTTACTTACTTACTTACTTACTTACTTACTTACTTACTTACTTACTTACTTACTTACTTACTTACTTACTTACTTACTTACTTACTTACTTACTTACTTACTTACTTACTTACTTACTTACTTACTTACTTACTTACTTACTTACTTACTTACTTACTTACTTACTTACTTACTTACTTACTTACTTACTTACTTACTTACTTACTTACTTACTTACTTACTTACTTACTTACTTACTTACTTACTTACTTACTTACTTACTTACTTACTTACTTACTTACTTACTTACTTACTTACTTACTTACTTACTTACTTACTTACTTACTTACTTACTTACTTACTTACTTACTTACTTACTTACTTACTTACTTACTTACTTACTTACTTACTTACTTACTTACTTACTTACTTACTTACTTACTTACTTACTTACTTACTTACACCTGTTACTCCCAATGGAGCACAGGCCGAAGACTAACATTCTCCAGCTCACTCTGTCCTGGGCGTTCCTTTCTTGTTCTATCCAATTTTTGTTTATTCTTTTCATGTCTGTCTCCATTTCTCGGCACAATGTGTTCTTTGGTCTTCCTCGTCCCCTTTGGCCTTGAGGATTCCATGTGAGGGCTTGCCTTGTGGTACAGTTGGGTGCTTTCTTCAATATTTGTCCTATCCACTTCCAGCGCTTCTTCCTGATTTCTTCCTCCGCTGAAATCTGGTTTGTTCTCTCCCACAGTAAGTTGTTGCTGATAGTGTCTGGCCAACGGATCCGAAGTATTTTGCGTAAACAACTATTAATAAACATTTGTATCTTCTGGATGATGGATTCGGTAGTTCTCCAAGTACCCCCCCATACAGTAGAACTGTCTTGACATTTGTATTGGAAATTCTGGCCTTGGTGTTGGTTGACAATTGTTTTGAGTCCCAGATGTTCCTTAGTTGTAAATATGATGCTCTTGCTTTGCCGATCCGCGCCTTCACATCTGCATCAGATCCACCGTGTTTATCAAGAATGCTGCCCAGATATGTAAAGGTTTTTGCATCTTCCAAATCTTCTCCGTCAATTGTGATTGGATTGGTGCATTCTGTGTTGTATCGGAGAATCCTGCTTTTCCCTTTGTGTATATTGAGACCTACTGCTGCTGGTGCTGCTACTACGCTGGTTGTCTTCTCCTGCATTTGTCGTTGCGTGTGCGACAGAAGAGCCAGATCATCTGTGGGGTCTAGATCGTCTAGCTGCATCCTAATTGATCAAGATCTAATATTTGCGAAAGTATTCCAAAGTTGTATTGTAATAAATTAGATGTTATTAGGATACCATATATTTAATATCTAAATCTCACGGATTACAGCTTTTCACTAGTTATCCAAGAATGCTTATCATCCCTAATGAACACGTAATTATTGAAACAGGAGGTTTGTAGTAAATGTTCGAATAAAATAATTTCCATACGGAAATCGAAAATACTGCATATTGAATGAGTGGTTTAAACCTACTGGCCTCTTCGGTACGACTAATATCGAGTTCATGTTCAATCCATTTCTGGAGAATCTCAATTTACGAAGGAACATCTATCTTTTGCATCACAGTTTTCAGTATTTTTCTACAATGAGTCACTTCATGCTAAAATCTATACTGAAAATGGAAAACAAATCTCGTGTATTAATTACACTACTTAATATTGATTGAGTAGTTCGTGTTGTGTATATCTTCTTTCTAGTGTCATTTTCCAAACAAGTTCTGTCTTTTGACATCCAGATCACACACATAGCTCCATTTTTAGATTAAAACCCTCTAAAGGATCTTAAAGATGATACTTTTGTTCACAGGATTCAACGTTTTTATTTTGTTTCAGTGTTTACAAATGAAGGAACTGTTTCATACTAAGACGAAGTATCTGTCCAGTGATTCTTGATTCTATATGATACCTTAAATGTTGGTAGAACATATTACAAATCAAAATGATACTTACCCCCCCCCCAACAAAATCACTCAAATGGAAAAAAATTGACAACGTAACGTTATTTTTGTAACATTAACTTATTGAGTTGCATGGATCCAATCTCCTTCAGAAAACAAGTATCATGTGCAAGCGTTTCAATTTTAGCACGTAATATTCCTATGTTAGCTAAAAGTGGGCACTCTGGGAATGACGTTGGAAGGTGCCCAAAACAGTGATATATCGTCACAAGAGCATCCTTAGAAAATAATGAGCAAATAGTTTTACCATGTTTATTTATTTAAACATATAAACATTGGTACAAGGAGGTACCAAATAAATATGTATCACACTTCGTTATTCGATTTATGTGACGGCTGGAATACTACCAGGGTGCGAAAACCAAAACAGGTGAAGTTCTTAAAGGGTCACACTCGAAGTCTTTGACCTAAAGGTCTAATCCATAAGGCAGTGGAGCAATGTCAGGAGATGCAGTTCTATGGTAGCCGATGACCAGTAGTTGGTTCATACACCATTTGTTCCTGCAGGATTCTGGAGCCCATGACCACCACTGGTTTGGAATGAGGGTTCTCCAACTCACCTAGGTAGACTTTTCATATTTGTCAACCCGGTTAAAGCACTGGGCATTCGCTTTTCATCTTCTTGACTTCGTAAACAACAGTAATGCCGCGAGAAGGCAGTGAGTAGGACTTTCATGGAAGTGTCTTTATAGGCGTAGCTATGTGGGAGCATTTCGAGAGGGTGAGCGAACTCTCCCCACTGTCGGCCGTACCAGGGCAGATAATTCAGGAATTAACATAAGTATTATGAAATTCTTTTGCAGTAAGTGTGGTTTTCAAGTCAACAGCTTAAGTTTATCCTATATAATGCATACGGGAGATATAAGATCAAAGGAAGACTAATGTAACAAAATCTAGAAAATAGATTAAGTCACTTGCAGCAGTCACAAAGCAGAGACTTTTTTCACCTTAGTACGCATAAAAGTAGATTGATGATGAAGCTGTACAATATTTTACCACTTAAATTCCAACATGACAGTGGACACAAATGCAACTATGTGAATATCTCAGTTTAGGATTGAGAAAACTCTAAGAATGTCAAAGAATTATTCAACTCACAAAGACACAAATCCTTATGATGAAGATTAAACTGTTATATGGTTGAAGATCAACTGAACAAAACATTAAGTTGGAGTATGAAAACATATGAAGTTAACAAATTCCATAAGGCCAGCAGTCACGAACGAATGTAGTAATTTCAATGAGTTCACTTCCATCTGAAGTAGTTGCTAATGATGATGTGCAGGACGATAATGAAAGCTTTACCATTACAACGACTAGTTTAGAGAACATAACACTAGCATAAATAGGTAAAATGTAGTCCTAATATTTTGATGTAACGTTTTGTACATAAATAATTGATTAGACTGATAGATCCTGTGTTCGAATCTCGCGTAGGGTGGAATCGTGGATGCGCACTGCTGAGGAGTCCCATAATGGGGCGAAACGTCCGTCCAGTGCTTCCAGGTTTTCCATGGTGGTCTAGCTTCAATTGATTCATTATTTCAACTATTAAAATTACTAAAATCTCCACCAAACCCTTTCTGATAATTGATTAATTCACAAATATATAGGATTCACGATGTACGGATAGTTTCAACGACATTAACTTCTTGATAACCTTGGTCTTTTAAATATAATTTCTTTTTTTAAAGTAACTATTATATCACATCATTTATAAATAAGTATTTTGATGGAATTCTGTCTTCTGAGCTGGATGGTTTAACTGTGGAGCTTCATTAGCACCTGAAGTTTGTGCTGATGATGTCGTCTAGAAAAACGATGAAATTTTCACGACCAAGCAATCCAGCTCAAAGAACAAAAATTTAACAAAATCATTCACCTGAGCTACAAATCGTCTTTACTATTTCATAAAAAAGTGTACATAAATGGGTTCGTTTCTTAGTAGATTATAGGATATAATATACTGAGGAGTCCCATAAACGTGAATACAAAACACTGTTCAATTCTCCCTGTTTATATATGTATATTCAATAATTTAAACTCACTTTTAAATTAAACGTTTCAATTAAAGCAGTTTCATGTAATGTTAATGTATTTCCAACACTTCGTACTTCTAAACCTTCTGTAGTCATACCAACACCAAGTTCTGGATGATCTCTTATTCCATGTTCTATAACATCAGCAATATATTTTAATGATTGAGCATATTGTTTCATTTGATAATAACATAATGCAATATTATAAGATAATTGTGGTTGAAAACCAGTCATCTTGTTAAAAAGAAAAAGAAAAGAGAAATATGAGTTTTGTTTTTCTTATTTCCAATAGTTCATTTGAATTATTTGTAAAATATTATAAGAGATAATTGTTGGTCTCACGCGCGAGCGCTTAACCATTAGACCACTGAGCCTGCATACAATGGTGTTAGTGTCTAACTTTAACCAATCCACGAAATTGTGCCACCGACACTCCTGGAGTTCTAGCGAGAAGCCGTGACCAGTGGAGTTCAACCAGGTCTGTTGTGAGATATCAGCTCACTGAAGATAATTGCTGATTGTTTTGTTCTTTTCCTCATTAACTTGAAGCTACTAGGTTCGATTGTCGGTTGGATCAAGAATGTGTATTACCAAGACATCCTATACTTACTTACTTAAGCTTGTTACCCCTCGTCGAGGAACATAGGTCACTCACCATCACACTTCATCTAACTCTATCTTAGACAATTCTTTCCAGTTCTTTTCAGTTGCTATTCGGTCTTCTCATTTCACCTTTTAATTCCTGACGCAGTGCGTTCTCCGAAGGTTAGTTTGTTCTCTCCCACAATAGGCTATTGTTGATGGTATCCGGTCAACGGATATTGATTATTATGCGTAAATAATTGTTTATAAGTACTTGTACCGTTTCGATTATGGTTGTGGTAATTCTACAAATTTCAACTGCGTACGCTAGAATTGTCTAGAAGTTCGTACTGAAGATTCTCACTTTGATATTGGCTTGAAGACAGTTGTTTTTAGTTCCACATGTACTTCAACTATAGGAATGTGACCCTTACTTTGCCAATCCGTGCTTTTATGTCTGCATCACATCCTCTTTGTTCATCGATGATGTTGCCCAGGTACGTGAAAGATTACACATCATCCACAGTTTCTCCATCAAGTGTGATTGTGTTGGTGCTGTGAGTGCTGTATTTAAGGATCTTGCTTTTTCCTATGTGTATGTCAATGGCCACTAGTGCAGAGGGCGCTACTACACTCGTTGTCTTCATCTGCATTTGTTCGTTTGAAAGAGACAGAAGTTGCAGGTCGTGTGAGAGGTCCAAATCGTCTAGTTGATTTTGAGTTTTCCATTGTACTCTGTGCTTTCCCTCATATGTCGAGGTTTTTACAATCCAGTCAACCACCAGAAGAAAGAGAAAGGAGGGGATTAGACAGCTTTGTCTGACTCCGGACCTCACTTGGAATGTATCTGTCAGCTGATCTCCATGCACTACTTTGCAGTATCGTCCGTCGTATGAATTCTGGATGATATTGACGAACTTCTCAGGTACAGAATGGTGTCGGAGAAGCTTTTATAATGTTCTGCCATCTGTACGCCGTCAAACGCTTGCTCATGGTCAATGAAGTTCCACCCAACTGATTGTTCAACGATGATCCGTAATGTCGTGATTTGGTCGGTGCACAACAAGACATCCTATACGAAGATAAAATATCTGTTCAGTTATCCTAGTTCTTAATACTTTCTTAATTAACATCAGCTACTGATGTCTTCAGAAACCCCCAAAAAATTACAATAAAATCACCAATTTTCTAATTTGATTTTATTCATGCTATCTATATTCTCGCTGATTAATTCCTTACTGCTCCAGCATTCCCTTTTCACCACAACTCAGAAAGCATAATCGGAGAACAAGATTTATTCCAAATAACCAAGACATTAGGAATCGCAGTAGTAATAACAAAACAGGTTTACATAAAATTTACAGACGAATCTTCCGATTCAATCTTAATCTGTTCATTGGCTCTGAATTTTTGGAAATGGAACTGTCAAAATATTCAAATTTAAGCTTGATCTGAGCAGGTTAAGATTCAGTGGAGATTATTAAGCTTTTGATTGAGATCATGAACCGATTGATGTTAGACCACCAATGAAAACTCGAAAGCTCTGGATGGCCCTTTCGTCCTATTGTGGAATTCCTCAGCAGTGCGCACCCCCGATCCTGTTCGCCGGATTCTAACCCAGTGCCTTTAGTCTCGCGCGCGAACGTTTAACCTACTGGACCACTGAGCCGGCATTCAATGGTGTTAATGTCTAGCTTCAACCAATCTACGAAATTACATGACCATCTCCCATTGTACTGAGTTAGGTAGCTGCCTCTACCCAACACGGATTAGCTCAACTAATCATAGCTTCTCACTAGGACTCCGAGAATCCCCTCACGAAGCTAGTCACTATTGAGCACATCTTATTAAAAACTCTAAATAGTATGGCAACAAATCAGATGAATGGTCGCAACAATCTTTATTATTCTGATTCACAACTCATACGGTTATATAAATGAAATACCATACTATAAAGTACTATATGTGCTAAAATGTAATGGATACACAACAGATTGTTGTAATTATATCCTGAACATTGCTTTGTATAACAAATAATATCATTCGTAATTGTTTCAATAATCTTTCGCTCATGTTAAGTTCCGTATTCGTATTTAACTTCAAACCAGACATTTCATTTTCGATTGATGATACATACTACTTATGTAGTGTGTGCTACTTATATCGACATTAGTATACAACGCGAGTCTGGAATAGTATGTCTGGCAGCAGAAGATTAAGAAGATCGAGAAGGGAAGAACGGGAACAGAAAGCAATTGATATGGAAATGCAGGAATAATGAGGTTTGAGACAATTAATGAACATTTTGCAAATGAAGTATTAAAGTATGGTTTTTTCGATTTTATCAAGTAACTCTGTAATGTCTGTTGACACCAGTAGCACACACCACACTCAACAAGACCCTCCTCTAGGACTGACTACTAGGAACAGGGACGGTTGTGATGTGTGCTATTGATGGAGATAGATATAAGTAGCATGTATCATCAGTCGGATGTAAATTGCCTGGCGACACAAGTTTAAGAAGATTGAAGAAAGGAGAACGAGAACAATGAGGTCTTAGACGATTGACTGACATTTTGCAAATGAAGTATTTACTGTACATTTCTCAGACTTTACTAAGATATTCTGTAATTTCGTATCCAAATGCATTCGGTTGTCCCTACTGGTATTCCCGTTCAATACATTATTACAATTTCTTCAAAGTACACTACTTTCTAAGTTATTCTATAGTTGTATTTATCTATTCCTGAATTGTATGATTTTAGTATTAGAACATTTAACTGATTCTCTTAATGAATTATATTCAGCCAGTTTACTAAAACTAACTTTAAGTCACTTTTTTATCGTTAGAATGAAAGTTACTTCGCTCTCTATTATGATTTATACTACTACATAGTCAACTTAGTTAATCCTTTTGTTAAACTAACTGGATGCTGGCTCAGTGGTCTGGTGGTTAAGCGCTCACGCGTGAGAATGATAAGTCCTGGGTTCGAATCACGTGAAGGGGGGCGGGATCGTGGATGTGCACTGCTGAGGAGTCCCATACTAGGACGGAACGGCAGTTCAGTGCTTTCAGACTTTTAATTATGGTCAAGCTTCAATCAACTCATGCTCTCGACCATTGAAATTACTACAATATCCACAAAACCCCTTCTGATATAATCAAAATAAATCATTCAATTAGATTTTCATCACAGAACAGTTGTTCACTAGTATATATATTTTGTTCAATCTTGGTAGTATTTTGCTTTTCTATAAAATATTTATTTAGTAAAGACAAAGATCATCCTCGTCACTCATTTATATTAGTTAGTTAAACCCATTAAATATGAGTGAATGTGGTTGGTTCTGTGGTCCGGAGGTTAAGCGTTCACGTGCGAGACCGATAGGTCTTGAGTTCGAATCTCACGAGGCGGGACCGTGGGTGCACACTGTTGAAGAGTTTCACAATTGGACGAAACGGTCATCCAGTGCTTCCAGGTTTGCTATGATGCTCTAGCTTTAATTAACTCATGATCTCAACTATTAACATATGATTGTATTCACAAATTGCTCATATCATCTACATAATTCGAATGGTAATTAATTACTTCATTAACCAGCAATGTAATGATTATCATTAGGGAAATGAATCAATCAAGTTGATTAATTATTTTTAATAGTGATTATCTACTCTGAAATAACCACTAGAATTGATAGATAATACAGATCTCTTTCTCTCCTTCTCTGATTGGTACAATATTAAATTGATTGAGTTGCTAAAGAAAATTAGAGTTTAAAATCCTGTTTTAGTAGAGTAGGTTTTATTTATTTATTCGAACACATAAATATTGGTACTAATACACACCGAATAGATATGCACCACACAAGTCACTTGATTTATGTGTGGGCTGTGATACTGCCCGGGTGCCCAAACTGAAGCAGGTAGTTTTCTTAGGGGGTTACACCAGGAGTGTTCGACTCAAAGGTCTGATCCATAAGACAGTAAGGTGGCGTCAGGAGATTCAGTCATATGGTAGCCGGTGACTAACGATTGGTTCATATACCATTTGTTCCTTCAGGATACTGGAGCCCATGTGCACCATTAGTTTGAAATCAGGGTTTTCCAACTGCCCTAGGTGGACCCACCATATCCGCCTACCCGGACAAAGCACCGAACATTCTCTTCTTGTCCTTTCAATTTCGTAAACAAAACCCCCGTCGCGAGAATGTAGTGAGTAAGATTTCCCTGTCAGTGGCTGTATGCACGCGGTCATGTGTTATGTCCCGATAAGCATAATGAATGGTAACTTTTCGGATCCATTTATGGACCAATACTATACTTATATTTTTGTCGTATATTTTATCTTACATTCATGTCTCTCTTATCATGAGCTTTACTTTGACCTATGAACTGTTATTATACGATTTACCATTCTTGAATTATGCCCTGTCTATTAATTACTACCGCCCTTATGCACAGCCACATTTGGCTAATTCTTGTACAAATGTTGTTTCATATTTTATGGTACGGTGTGGTCTGTCTGGTTGGTATATAAACCCAGTATGCTTGAAATAAACGACTTATATCACAGAGGCTGAAATTGGTGTTCTGGACATGACTGGCTGAGCTAGGCAGAAAGCAGGACCAAATAGGACTCTAGACTGCTCTCATGTGTTTTATGCGTCCTTGGTCCGATCGATAATTCACTGCTCTCTAATTGAAGGTATCATTATGAATACATTAGCGGGGTACACAGGCCACAAGTTATAACACCATGTCAGAGCATTTCGAGGAGAGCTAACTCTCCCCTTTCTCGACCGTACCAGGGCATTTGGGGGCACATATTTGTAGACCCAATTTGACTTGCCACATCATTACAAGATAAAAGTTTATATTGGAAAATCAGAGTAATGGTTCAATAAATATTACTATTATTATTGATATTATTATTATTATTATTATTATTATTATTATTATTATTATTATTATTAGTAGTAGTAGTAGTAGTAGTTGTTGTTGTTGTTGTTGTTGTTGTTGTTGTTGTAGTACCTATGCCTATCAAATTAAGGTTTCAAGGTAAGGGTAGTTAGTGCAATATTATATATATATATATGATGATATGGAGTGAAGTAGTTGAGCATGTCGACCGCTTCACTCATCATGAGAGTCATATCAGCCCTTGCGGTCTGGTGTGTGACGAAGTCTCAGCACGGATACAGAAGGCTCGACTAGCTCTTGCCAACTAGCATGACTTATGGCGTAGGCGAGATATCCGTCTACCAACCAAAGGAAGGGTTTACTGTGCAGCAGTTCGTTCCGCCCTACTTTATGTTAGTGAAGCATGGCCGGTAAGAGTATAGGATATCCGTAGGTTACTAGTATTTGATCATAGGTGTCTTCGAAATATTGCTCGTATATCCTGGGACCATCGAGTAAGTAACGCAGTTGTTAGGAAACGGGTAATAGGTAAGGATGGCAAATCAATTGATAAAGTGATGAAACTTCATCAGTTGAGATGGCTGGGACACGTGTTACGTATGCCCAACCACCGACTGCCTCGACGAGAGATGTTTTATGGTGTAAGAGTAGGTTGCAAGAAAGTTAGAGGCGACCAGACCAAAATATGGCACAAATCCATGAAGTCAGTGACAAGTGGACTGAGCCATGTTGGTAGGTGTAGACTACTTGGTTGGGATCCGCGAGACGATAGCAATCGATGGTTAGAGACCTTGAATGACATGGTTCCAAATCGTTAGCAACGGCGCAGGTGCATTCACTCTTTGTGTTCTCCCAAATTCTAATCTTCTGAATTCTTCATGTCCGTTTGCTTTTTTCTTTCCAAATTTATTTCACTAGGTTATACTGCTTGGATAACATCTTCAGACCCTAATCTTTCCGATTAGTGCATATACTGTTACTACTTTTACCGTTGTGAGATTTGAATCAACAAATATATCTCTGTGCTAATGTGGTATAGCGACTTGGACTGATGTACGTACGTACGTACGACGTTCTACGTTGTTATTGACCAACTCTAAACATATATTTCGAATAATGAAGAAGTAATTTTAAAAAATAACTAACTTGTATAGCTTGTTGAAAGTGTTGGCAAGCTTTTTGATAATCTCCTTCGCGATAGAATAAACATCCAAGATTAATAATTGAATCAATATCACCAGAATGATTTTGTTCAACTATACTACGTGAACCAGATAAATCTCCTTCACCATAATGTATAGCAGCATTGAGTTTGTTAAGTTTTTCCTTAAAATTTGGATCTTCAATTTGAGCTGCAGCCTTTTTTTGTAAAAAATTAAAAGAGAGAAGAACACAGTTTATAGTAAATAAATGATAAACATATTGATCCGAGATAATCAAGAGATTTATACAATAACTGTTGACATCGTACTTGATGCAGTGTATGGAGGTCTTAGATTCAAACCTGTTTAGAGTTCTGGATGCGTGGACACTTGGACTCAGAATATTCAACCACAACAAACTTAATTTCACTCTTTTTTAATTAGTCTCCGCATGAAATCATTTCATGGTGAAAGCTACTGTTTTATAAATGTAAGATGTAAGACATGTGTTTCTCCAAGTATCTACCTTTCTTCTAACAAGCTCTGAGTCTTCGAATTCATCCAAATCAATAATAAAGTACTTAATCTGTAAGTTATACCATTTAGTTTTAGGAGATGTATAGCGATATGGCTTTAACATATGTAACTCATTAAATTTAGAAAGCAAAATCTTGAAAATTGGGATAAATTAAACTAGTCTTTCAAAATGACATTAAATTGATATAGGTTTGTAGAGAGTGTTGAGTTTTCTTAATTGAAACCATGAACTGATCTATATTAGACAGCCGTTGCAAACCTGGAAGCACTGGACAGCCTTTTCTTCTTGATGCGGGACTCCTCGATAGTGTGCATCCACGGTCCCGCATACGGGACTCAAACCCAGGACCTTCGGTATCTCTCGAACGCCTAACTTCTAGACCACTGAATCGGTATCTGGCGGTGCTAATGTTTGATCTTAATCGACACACACTCTTGAGCAACCTTTCATCCATTGCTTGTGGTGGATAACTATCTCACACGCGATATGGTTGAACTCCACTGGTCACTAGTGACCGGCTTCGAGAGGTAATCTTTGCATTCCTAGTGAGAGGCCGTGACTAGTGGAGTTCAACCGTGTCAGTTGTCAGGCAGTTACCCGTCGAAGACAATCGAAGATGGTCGCGCAATATTGTGGAGTTATTGAAGTTAGACATTAACACCCGTCGATACCGGCTTAGTGGTCTAGAAGTTAAACGTTCGACAAAGACCGAAGGTCCTGGGTTCGAGTCCCGTGTGCTGGATCGTGAATGCACACTACCGAGGAGTCCCGCATCAAGAATAAAAGGCTGTCCAGTGTTTCCAGGTCTCCAGTGGTGGTCTAATATTGATCAGTTCCTGATCGCAATTGAAAAAATTAGTAACAGAATCTGAATGGAACAATAATTTTGATTGATGGATTAGGATTTTATTCAGTTTCTCCATTGAGATTGATTATAAGTCAATTGCAATGACAGTCTCATCTAGCTGCGTCAACAGAGTGCGACAACGTGAATCGATGTGTACACATGCTAGGTTCTACTTCGCGTTTTACTGACTGACCGAAATATTAGAATCTGATATCTGATAAATTAAATTCACAAACCCTACTGGCATGAAAGGTTGGCCATACAGAATTACCCCATACACCATCTCGACCACGTTGACTGAATCTTCTTTGTATGTCAAGATCATACTGTGGCAGAGACCGTTTTTATGCATCAATAATGTCTACTTTAACTACTTCAGCCTCAGTCTTGAGGTTATTCTATAACTCTAAAAGATATAGCAGTGATTTATGCAATGTAAATTGAACAAAAATTTGCCGGGAAGAAATATATTCTTGTGTTTTTAAGTATAGTTACTGACTGAAACTATCGACCATCTATATAAACAACATGTAGAAAGGAGGATGGTGTTACTGATGCCAATAGATAAAGTGAAGGAGTATCTGCTAAAACACACAATGGATACCTAGTTTATGTTGAACGACGAACTCTACTGACAATTAGCATTTGGAACTATCCTAGGCCCAGTTTTTACCTGTATATTTTGTTGGTAACTTGGAGAATGGACGGATATATGACACTCTTAACAAACTGGAATACTGCTCCCGTTACATGGATGATAAAGCAGTTATCTGCAACAAAACGAACAAAATACAAGAACTCTTAAAAACACTTATTAATACATATCTGTCGATTATACTTGTTTGTCGAGATAAAACGTGATAACCGTTTAGCACTTGTCGACGTTATGTTTTGAAAAGGTCGAACAATTTGGTAAAAAGTAATAAATTTGGAATAGTAACTCGAACAGTGCAATATATCTGCTACCATAGCTTCATATATCTCCAGTATAAAATTTGTCTAGTTGAATCTCTGAGTCACAAAATCCGAGGACTACGTCCTCAGGATATCATATAGGAAGAGTTAAGCAATCCAAGGGTAATGCTACTAAAAAATGGATACCCTGATGATTTCATAATGAAATGAATAACTAAACCTAAAAGTAAAAGACGAACTTTCACAGCTAAAAAGTGAACTCTATATCTAAGCCCTGATTTTAAGTGATAAACGAGTAAAATCCTAATCTGTTGAATAAGCAGTTTCACTAAAACAACTCTCAAGATATATGTAACTTTCTCAATAAATCCATTGCTGACGCAGAAAGTTAAGGATAAGTTGCCTATATTGGGTTTACTTGTATGTGTTTATTAATTTGGCTGCTCCAGTGGGGCCAATTATATTAGCCGTACTCAATGATCCTTATCCTTAGGTGATCGTGGCAATGCACCGACACAGTTGCGAAAACACTTTGTGAAGTCTATTAACAATGCCACCCTTTTCTAATTAATTGACTATGGACATAAAATTAACATCAAAAATGCCTTCTCAATTATACATCAAAATCCTAGTACTCAACCGAAAAACCAACGATTATTCTCACGTTATGTAGCTGGAGCAATTAGTGTCGATTCAAAAAAACCTAATTTGTACATACAAAAAGATACACATAACCCTTTTGTTTACAGCAGCCTGTATTAGAGTTGCTCTATTCTTATTGCTAACTATATCCCTTCTATATTCATTATGACGTTTGCTTTTTTTCTTCAATGCTCTTCGTTCTCAAACATTCTATGATGATTTTTGAACATATTCGTGTTGTAATAAACAATGCGTAAAAGCCATTTTTAAGTAGATTTTGCCTGCCAGCATCTTAGAAATAAAAACTGGTCCAAAATAAAGCCCTCTAAGATTTACTGCTACGTTTTGAAATATCAAATGGATTAAAAGGAATACAGGCATGGGCCATACATCTTATACACCTTATTTATGACAAACCGTTCACCAAGAATATGTGTTACAAAGCCAGGTTTTATTCAATTCACTTATGTTAAACTCATTGATACTACCCAGGTGCCGTAGTTGGAGTAAAAATATCATGTTTATACTTACAATCTAGTAATTGTAAACCAAACCCACAAACAAATAATCTTTCAATCTACATAAAAACAAGAATTTTTAATGAGATCTGGAAAATGTATACATTTTTAACAGTTGTTCATAACAACTTTTATGTTCATCATCTCGATAAAATAATCGTGAAAAGTTTAATGAAAGGGCATGAACGAAGCTCATTTACATGTATATCTCAGTCACTTTCATTTAAATCACATCGTGTGTTTAAGAAAATAAGATCTTGCTAAAATATGCATTTTAAAAGACTACTTAAATTATCTGCTAAATATCTTATAAGTCGTGAGTTATAGGCTTATTTGATCTTTTAATTGAGTATTGAAGAATAACCCCATTAATTCTCACCAGTGTGAGCAGAGTGATGATGTGTAAATATTTTCATTTTGAGACTGAACAAAAAGTCAACTAAACATATTTATAAAATGATCTAAAAAATTATACGGCAGTTGATGGTTATGATATTGTTTACTCTCAGTTCTGTGGTAGACCAAAAGTATAATAACCAAAAATTAGCGATAAAGTTATCACGTCCAAAAGTTAATGTAACAATAACAATTTATAAATTAGTAACACAAAATAAAAGTTCAGGGACGTTACTTAAATCAGTTAGTTGTTGCGTATTCTCCACAGTTCTCTGATGAGTCAAAATTTAAATACAAATACGGAAACAGTAAAACGTATGCTGTTGTATGCGTTACCTCTTCTGATATGGTTTCATACATACAAGTCACATTTATGGGCAGGTTTTAAGTGTATTTAGGATTCTCCAGTTTTCAATAACTTCGGAATTTACACCCAAATCTGCCACGCAAGGATTCGTAAAATAGTTTGACATAACCAGATTAATACAATAAAAATTTGTTTAGGTCCCTTTCAGTATCATTCTGTTTACATATAACTAAGTCAACAGCTAACCAAAATTAGATTGTACCCATTTTATTGTTAAACTTGATTACTTTTAATTATAATTAAAAGTATTCGAATAACTCTATAGAGATATGATAATCAATTGTCACATAGAAGTGCTTACTTTAGTCGCCGCTTGAAACAAGTCTGCTTTATACAGCGATTGAGCGAAATAAAACTTATATTCTTCTATATCAGGGAAATGTTGAGTCAGTTGTTCGTAACAATCAGAAGCACTAACAAAATCTTGTAGCTGATAAAAGCAATAACCGAGTAATGAAAGTGCAGCTCGACTGCTTGGATGGACGAGGAGTTGTTGATTTAGCATGTTTACCGCTTCTTTATATTTCTGATCTTTAATCGCACCATATATAGCAGCCGTGAATTCCCCTTCTTTAAGTTTCATGATTTTGTATGCGCGAAAGCGGAGTTGCTATGGTCATAAATATAAACAAGTCTGTATAGCTTGTCCATTGATCATACTGTTCTCTCCATTTAGAACCTGCTCGTTAGCCTATTCATAATTAAGAAGCGTACAATTATTATCTGCAAACTAATTTGCATTCTGTTTTCGGGTTCAACCGTCTTCGAAATTGAAAACAAAGCATTTCCTATTCATAACGAATCCTACTTGATACAGACAAGTACTGTTAATATTTTTACTGTAAAGATAATAAAACGTTTATCACTGATCAGATGAAGCAGCAGGATGAGAAAGCCAGAACATTCCGGGAGAACCAACCAATCTATATGAATGGCTGATTATCTTACCGAACCCTTGTTTTATTCTGGAACAACTAAACTATCCTCTGACTCCACTAAAATGCTCGACACTTTACCACATACGGCATTTTTAGAAAAGTTTGTTTTCATTGATCCTGTCTTTTCTTTGTTTGGAAAGTAATTGGGCGACAATTAATACCAACTATAGTAAACTAAACTTTTGTGAACAGAAGAGATCTGACTTTTGATACCGGGCAAGAAACAGTTTTCAGTTTCATTTTCCATGATCTCCCCAAAACACAAGGTTCATCATTCTCTATTTGTCGCAATGACGTCAGAAACTAGGAGTTAATCTCTGCTAAAATTAAATAATCATATTCTCTTAAACGTCCAGAGATACATAACATAGTTATGACTATTTAAAGTTATTAAAAGCAAAACAATCGACTCTGGGGGTTAAGTTCCAGTTACTGGTACAATTATGTTTGGATATTTTCCCTATCACTGAAATTCAACCATGAACTACCAACAATAGCTGCTATTAGAGCCAAAAAATGATGATATTGGTATCAAAGATGGAGGGTTAATGTGGTCCTTCATGGATGGCGGCGCTTAAGTTACAATCAAACCCAATATGATTGTAAGAAAAAAATTTACCAACTCGTTTTCTGGCGTTAGTGAATGAATGAATACTTTCCGTTACTACAATCGAGACAGAAATAGGGTCGCAAACATATAAACTTGTGGGATGTCGATGCAGAGGTGGTGATGGCTAGCGACTTTACTACTCGCAGCACATGGCCAGTGAGAGTGATTGGTAATTGGAAGTAGATTAAGATGTTCTAGTAAGGACACTGATAGTCTGTATGAAGGAAGAGGTTGTAAGAAGAGGTGTACGATAGCTTTGTCTTCTGAAGGGGGCCAAATAACTGCATGTTTAAGGTCCTTTATAAATATACAAGTGCACTCTTGTCAGTTCTGCACTACTCATTGACGTATAAAAGTTCTCTAGGATAGCCATGATTGAATGGGTTTGGAAATGTCTTTACGTAGCTGGTGACCAGTGTAGTGGATGGAATACTCCAAAGTTCCGTCTAAAGTGTTTCACTTGACAGCAATGTTATTTGCTTTTTTCTTTTTCCTTGTCTTGCGTTGTAAATTTTATATGGAACTCATATGACTTCGTTTTGTATTCTTCGGCCATATCTGTCTTTACTTTCATTGTTGACTAGACAGAGATTTATCTTCACTATGTAATTTTACTGATGCATATTGCTGTTTCAGTGACAATAACACCGTTTTAGGTTAAAGCCAAGGTCCATCCTTTGGTTGTTAATTTTGAGTGCATGTTGGAAAACGTTACTAAAATTCCTGCAATGGATATTTGATCACATCTACTTACATATTCTCAGGCACTGAACATTTATTTATAAACCATTCTTATGGCTGTTTAGCACGTCATTTTGCGTTAGATATAACCTTGGCTATATATATTATAACGTGTACAGTTTAAGGTATATTGTTCTCTCTATATGGTATTTTCTTTTTTAAATCAGAACCGTTCGAATGGAGTGCAGATTTAATGTTTTATTTGACTTGGTACCAGTCATTCAAAAACACTTCGTACGCTATACAGAATAACGCAGTTTGATATGAAGAAACAAAATCAGGTTCGTTAGCTCTTTATTCGGACCAAATACTGGACTCGCTGGTCGCTACATCTACGCTCTGTAGACTACGTCCCGAAGATCGTCAGTGCATCACTTATCATCAATTCAGTTATTACCACAATATCATTTAAAGAGGATGTTAAGCATGAGGTACATGGATAAAGGGGGTACCTGAATAGTATGCTGGTGCAGGTATAAAGCCCTTCTATTAATCTTTGTTCAGTCAACCGTTAAGGAGTACAAGTTTCTTGCCAAAGACGAACAATCACAATGGGTGTGATACAGTTGAAGAGACATATTTCTAAGTGCTTATGGATAATACCCTTGATGGATCAGCAGTTGAACATAGTACACCAAAGCGAATGGATGAGAAGGTTAACTTAATAATCAAAGGGAGAATGAAGCTAATGTCATATGATGTGTACGTTGGAGGGCATGTTCCTATGTACAATTATGCACACAAACGGGCTGCAATTAAACGCAACTCAATTTCGTAAATGTGCCCTTCAGCTTAGCAACTAATCAGAATGAGGCGGGAATCATTATACCCGCCATCTTTGCAAGCAATGGCGGTCGGCTTTCTTCGTTCTGTGCTTATTTCGGATATTTATTTGTGTAGCTATGCAATTTAATGTTTCAGTGTGCTAAAATGCCACAGTTAGTGTAATGTTCTACATGTAGGTGTGAAATTTATTTCGAATCAGCGATGTTTTCTGGGTTTTTGCTGTTTCTACTCGAGTCAATGTATTTCTTCAGGCAACCTGGCTAGTCTTGTGTTATAAAATGTCGGCTGGCTTTCTTGGTTCTGTGTTTTTTCCGCTATTTCTTTTGTGTAGCTACGTAATTTAATGTATCAGTGTGCTAAAATGCAGAAGTTAATGTAACACTATAAACGCTGGAGCAAAATTTTTCCTGATTTTGCTTTGTTTTCTGGGCCATATAGCAGTAATAGACGAGTTGTACTCATTACGTTGTGCGTTAAAGAAAGCTTAACATTGAAAAGCCGGAAATCTGCCATCAGTGTGTAGTGTATTATAGTATTCTAATTATCGTATGAACTAGGAATTCCAGGACTAACGCAATTGAATTAAGAAGACACAGGCACAACGAATGTACTGTATTTAGAATTTGAAATCGAGCATTCAACCAGTACAAAAGAATCATCATCATCCACCATCTCAGAATCATTAGTTAATTCAAACACCACATCCGCCACAGCTTAAATAGAAGTATAAGTGTTTGTAATCGGTTGTACGTCTACTTGTTAACTTCATCCTGAGTCTGTCCGACATTGTATAAGATAAAAACTTTGTAGTATCTAGAAAGTGCTCATTAGTATTGGAATTAACAAACGAAATCGGAACTGACTCACCTGGAATTGTATACAACCAGCATGTCGGTTTTGTACTGAAATCATTAATATCTCGAATTCAAACCATAGATTTTTCAACACTATCCTCCCCCACGAAATAATGTTGGATCTTTATACTCCCAAGTTATGAATAATGTGGCTTCATTTAAAACATATATCTCACATTGTTTAGAGTAAACATTAGAACTGTTTTTGTGATAAGAGTAAACAGCAGTTGATATGAAATCATCCGAAATATAATAAAACTCGAGGTCACTTAGTACTCGTGCTTCGCATTGGGCAGGTTTTTCACGAAGATCAAATACATTATGAGGATAGGTAATATATGATATGACATCAGGATTTGATTCTTCTGAAATATTCTCATGAAATTCATCAGGACTGTCATTGCAGAGTGTAGGATCGTTAGAAAAATCAGCATCTATCCAAACCACATCAGGTTTTCGATCATGATTAGGTTCATTTAACATATTTTCCTCAGAATTGCAAGTAATTTCATTAGAAATATGTGAATCATTAGGAAAAGTCATACTTGGTACAATAGCATGAGAATTCTGATAAATCGGTTGATTAGGAAATGTTGTCTCACAAGAATTCTGGATTTCATTTAACTCTGAACTGCCATATGACTCTGCACTGTCTTTTGAAATCGTTGATAAAGATAAATGATCATCATGAATACTCGACTCAGTAGAATCAGAATTACAAGACTTAATATTAATTGCAGTAAGATGAACATTAGCATTACAAACTGACTGAACTTGTCCAATATCACGACATTTGAAGCATTTAGAATTATGAAATTTACATGAATTAGAAGAGTGGAACTTGCAACAGGACAAACACTGACCAAACTTGTCCCCATCCTCGTGAACTGCATCCAAATTCAATGAATTGTCTGCATAACCTTGAGTATGCACTAGGTTGAGATGACGTAGTAATGTAGTGGACTTTTTTATATCCTCATGAATCATTTTACGAAATCTTCCTCCTCTACGACATTTGAAATTTGTATACTGAGCATAGTCTAGCAGTAGATCCTTGAGAGCTGTATAAGATAGCGAAATGGGTTTTTCCGAAATAGCCAGAGTTCTTAATAAGCTGTATGCTTCTTTTCCAATGAATGTGAGGAAGTGTGCCACAATATTAACATCCTCATCATCTTCCTTGGTCATAGCCCAGATTTCGAACCTTTCAAAGTAATCTTCAAAAGCTTCTGAAGTTGAATGAATATCTAACTTTTCCATTGCAGGCTCCATCGCGACGCCAATATAGTATTCTAATTATAGTATGAATTAGGAATTCCAGGATTAACGCAATTGAATTAAGAAGACACAGGCACAACGAATGTACTGTATTTAGAATTCGAAATCGAGCATTCAACCAGTACAAAAGAATCATTAGTTAATTCAAACACCACATGTATGTTTGCTGTTTTGGCTATAAAAGTTAGCCGAAGGGTCATGATCAGGGAGTAAAAAGGTAATTAACTGTTATTAAGCTGACTTTTTCATAGATCATATTTCACCACTCGCAAATTTGTGTTTTTTTACAGTATGATGTCAACGGTACCTAATATGTTCACACTTATGATGAAAAGTACCTGCAACTTTTCATCTTCATATTCGCATTATTTTTGGACAACGGTCTTCCAGTTTGAGTGCTTCGTACGCCCTGAGAGACTAGATTCCTACATTATTCGTAGTTCCAGTATAACTTTCACGCAGTAAGTTCAAATTAGACTCTAGTCTTTCTAAATAAGCCTGTTAAGCTAATATCTGTATCTTCTATTTCAGTTAATCGATGAAGACATGTACCACGTGCATATGCTGTATACTTCTATTTTACTCTAATTCTGTCATATCTTCTGAAAAATAAAACTGCTATATGCAGCAAATACAGACTTATTTGTTTTGATGGAGATAAGGGGATTCATGGGTTTTTTAGCAGGACCGTGGTAATATTCTTACTCAAAAGCTAAGCGAGTGCGTAGACGAGTGTAAGGTACCATACGGCATGCATTTCAGTTACTAATGTTCCTTTAGTGTGGGTAGAGGCATTGCTTGCTTATCATATAGCATTTGAAAAAGCTATGAGACTAGACGCAAGTACGATTAGGATGTGTAACGCGTGTCCATCCGTCATCTGCCGTGACAACTCGTGGTGGTTAGAATTAATTATGAGAGGACCCGAGTCTATAGGTTTCCCAAGAAAATGACGAAGATATTTACTAAGTCACTCAGATTTAATATATACGAACTAGGTGCTGAGAGGCTCGTGTTTCACATGTTTCTTGCAACGATTAAGCAGTTAAAACAAAGTAGCATTAGATTTAAAAATTTATTCAGGAACTTTCATTAAAAGTCGAATATCAAACAAAGGTTTAAACGAAGTTCCCGCCTAAAAGTTGCATTGATAATGTCAAGCTGCAGTCTTTGTTTTTTTTTCAAACTAAAGTGTAAAAGAAGTAACAAAAAGGTCAAATGATACATACTGGTTGAAGCTGTATATTTATTTGAAGACATATTGCAAGAATTGACATAGGTCAACAAGATTGAAGACTGAAAACTGCACAATAACATAATTAATATATTGGACGTTGAGTCCATATCGACCTTGACTTTGATCATCAAGATCAGAAATGAGTGCAACTGCTTTGCTGATTCTGTCTGAGGGAGCTGAAGAGATAGAGGCGGTGACTGTTGCTGATGTACTGGCTAGGGCAGGAGTAAACGTTACTGTCGGTGGACTTCAGGGCGATGGAGTGGTTAAGGGAAGCAATGGTGTTTGCATAAAGCCAAATGTTTCACTTTCCAGCGTTTCATCACAACTTTTTGATTTGGTAGTAATGCCAGGTGGTATGGGTGGTTCCAATGCTATGGCGTCATCGAAATTAGTTGGTCAAATACTTAAAGAGCATGAAAAACACGGCAAGTACATTGCAGCAATTTGTGCTGCACCGATCGCCCTGGAATCTCACAAAATCGCCATAGGAAAAAAGCTGACATCTTATCCGGGCTTTGAGGATAAACTTCCGAGTTATACATATTGTGAAGACAAAGTTGTTGTTGATGATAAACTTGTTACAAGTCGAGGTCCAGGAACTGCGCTGGCTTTTGCAATGAAGCTAGTTGAATTACTGTGTGGCAAGTCGAAAGCCCAAACGCTAACAAAAGGCATGCTTGTTTCACTTTAAGACATCTAAACTTTCCGGTTCTTCTGCTTTTGTTCCATCATATTAGATTTGATAAACTACATGCCCATTCGAAATACTTTCATACATTCTTTCAAATAAATTTCAATAACTACTGTGTAATTGTTCTATTCGCTTTATTGTATTTGGATAGAAAAATGTCGTGAGATGTTATTAGGTTTTATTATCCATGTTAGTACACAAATGTAGGTTGCGCTGCGATATTCACCTTGTAGAAATAAATATGTTAAACCGCGTCCATCGATATCGAATTATGATCCATTTCGTCTGTTTTTAGACTATCCACGCTTTTATGATTGATCCCATATATTACAATGTAAGCTCTTAAAAAGTCTTGTATGACTACTGTTGCTACTTCAAGTAGTATATCAGTGCGACCCCATGATCTCCAGCTGGCACATACGAGAACGGTCACTGTTGGGAAATGAATAAGTAACGTTTGCTTAGGTATTTCAGATAACAGTCATGGACTAAGTGAGTATCCCAATAATTAGTTCAAGCTTTCAGGATATGTACGAGATCACTAAACTTAATCAGGAATCTTGATGCAACCTAGCTTTTGCTTCTTAGTATGTCGATATTTTATAAGCATTTGTCACAGTAGAGGTGATTAATGTAGTTCCCAACATGTCTGTTTGGGAGTTTGTACACAACTTATATCCCCAATCTTGATTGTCTTCCATGTATTTAGTCAGGGAGTTGTTGGATATAAATATTTGTATACTGGGTGGTTTTCACATAAGCATTATCCGCTACCTCGAAATCCGTTAACAATGATTTGGGACTAAATTAGGACCTTGTTGAAATCACTATAACAACTAGTGTCTATTAAAGATGCTACTTACTACCTTATCGTTGATTAGTGTAAGACGTACAATATCCCTAAGATCTGGTACTAGGCCAAATCAACCTGCATTAGTCTTAATACTTTCGGAAAAACAGTAGAATTAGTTTGGTTTATACTTTCTTGAGTGAGAGGATAAAGGATGAAGATCTTAGTTACTACACACATATCTTTATCCATTCTAGCAAATGGTTCCCTGACTATCTTGGCACAGATATTGAGAGCGCAAGACTCACTTTGTAATCTAAGATAGTACCATTATACCCTCTCCCTAGTAATTGACGTTTAGGTATGCAGCACGAATTATCTTCCCATTATATTCTGTAATTGTACAGGTTGATGATGCTTCACCTAGATTTTGACAATGAGCTTCACCCATCCTGACGACCATATAGACGATCTTTAACGAGACGTAGATTCTCAAGCAAAATAACAACCTCTGAGTTCCTTGTAACTTCCTTTGGTCAGTGTCCAAGCAAGACTCCCCAAGTATCGTCCCACTCATTCTAACTCCCGACTTATTAGTGAATACCCTGAGTAGACAAAAACAGGACAGGCAGTTACTTAAACTTCTTCATGGAATATGAGAACACGGGTTCTACTCAGCGTACGAACAAATCACGTCAAAACTAGGTACAGACCCGTGATAAAGAAAATCTGAACACAGGGTTATAGATAGTAAAGTAGCAACCTCTACGAATAAATACTCCAACTAGAGCTAAAAATGATAAATAGATCAAACACCTCTAGCATGACGATAAGCATAATATACCCCAGTCGGCCTTATGATCATATTCACATCACTCACTAATAGTCGTACCAACTTTATTCGGATTGTTGTCACTTACTATATGTGAGCTATTTGGTTATTTTTCCATTTTTCTTGCCCCATCATTATGTAAAATTTCTTAAGCACGTTTATTGGTGGGAAGCGTTACAATCTAGTAAGATTGCGTCATTTGAAATAAATCACACAACTCAGCAGTATGTAGAAACTAGTATATTAATATCCGACAAATAAATGTCGACGTCCGGATTATTCGTTAATATTCGCGGAACAGTAGGTCTTTACAGTTCGGTATGTACCACTCCACAACAGTGGTTCAATCATTTGATCAGTAGAATTAGTTTGACTGTTATCATCTCATTTAGATAAACTGGATAACGATAGATTGGTGCTTTACAACAGTAAGTACTTGTCAGATGAACAAATCGGATGCTAGACAGTTTTTTAACGGTTAATATCAGGTTACTATATACCCCTCTATCATGAAGAAATAGAGAAAGTCGTGCGGATGGATGGTAAATTTTCATGGAATAGTTTGGACGTTCGATAGTTATTGCTGTAGAATTTAAGCTCTCAGAAGCTTTTATTGTATCCAAAGCAGATTAAATTATTAGTGACTCTTAAGTTATTTAGGGACTCTTATTACATATATATATATTCTTATTTATAATTATTAAGCAACTAGACTACATATATCTATATCTTTCATCGTAGGCTTTCATTTGACTTACTGCCCACTATTATACAATTTTCGATTTATCATCAATCTATCAGTTACAGTTACTTATATTCAAAGCCACTTTCAGTTTTCTTTTGTATAATAATTATTTTTTTCATTTTATGGTGTGATGCGGTCTGGTCTGTTTGTATATAAGGTAAGTACGTCTGAAATATGTTATTCATATAGTGGAGGCGAATATTATGTTTTGGACTCAACGGACAGGGCTAGGCGAGAAACTACTACAATATCGAGGACCAATAAAGAGTTGATTCAAAGCTGTTAGTGCTGGTTGATGTGTCATTGGTTTAGCACATGGACAAGATCATAAAATCCGATATTCAGATCGGCGATTTCGTCACCTTTCTACCTCTAACGATACAGCTGGAAGGTAGTGACCATTTAATAGGATTCCTAAAAGACTGGATATTCTGATATAACATATGAACCGTTTAAAAAAACTAGTGCCTAGTAACATCTAACGCGAATATTTGAGAGCGTGGTTTAGAATTTGACGTTGTTTGATGTTCCGATTTCCTAAACTCTGTAACACGAATATAGTTATGATTATTAGTTCTAGAACAGTCCAGGATCGAGCCAAGTTTTGTATATGACCATTGAATGTTATCGTAATTCACAAAAACATCGACTTTTACACTACATGATAGCTTGTCAGTTAAATACGTTACCCATTCAAACATTTGACTTTCTCGTACTACTTAGCTCAAGTTAAAAAAGGTATTAATATTGCAAGTCCTCAACTAACAGTTTTAAATTCATACTGCTGCTTATCGGAGCTATGTATATATCAGCTTACGAAAGAAAGCCAAATTGTATGTACATTATTATTATTTGTTTTTATAATATTAAAATACAAAATATGAAAATAATAACTATTCTCCTTCTCGTTGAGCCAACTTCCCATAACCACCTCGTTCGGCGTCATAATCTTTGCGGAATTCATCCCGTACCTATAGTTATTAAAAAACAGCACATTAGCATATATCGTTTTCTCTTATCAAGACTGACAATTGGTATGAATTTCGACATAAAACTAGTGTACAATACCGCCCACATGAACTAAACATTAAAATTTGATTGTAATCAAGAAAAATCACTAGCAGATTGCTTTTAGGCACAAAAATTACATAAAAAAAGTAGTTTCGACTTTAAAGGAGTTTAATACTATTTAGGAACACGGTTAAACAATAACAAGTTTCAAACTACCGAAAAGTTTGGTAGTCTCATGATGTCCAAGAGTTAAACTCCAACTGATATCAGATCGCTATTAAAGCTATTCTTTTCAACTAACCGAAGCATGATAAATTACTCGGAGAATTTTATTGATATAAGACCAGATAGGTATATACAACATGTTCTTTGACACAATCAAAGGTCGACAGGTATCCCTTTTATGTTACCACCAACTGTGTATACAAATTTACATGTATCTGCCAAAGCAGTTACATTGGTAGAACAGAAAGGAGAGCCTACGTCCGATTCAAAGAACATGTTCCGAAAAGTTTAAGATTAAATGGATTAAAAACATCCAGCAGTGCCATCGCAAGACATCTTGACACAGGACATGAAGTTGATATACTGAAGTCCTTCAAGGTGATTAACAATTAAACTCCAACCTCTTGAAATTTGCCGAAGCAATAGCAGTCAAACGTCTGAAACCAGATCTATGTATACAAAAAGAGACAGTAATAAATCTTTCTTTACCCTGGTAACAATAACACCCCTTTTTTATTCATTTATTTCTCTATTTATTTATTGCGTCACTACTCCAACTCTCTTAAATTACACCATACATAACTGACTGATTTCAATTCATATTTTCTTTATTACCATTATTCTATTTTCATGAGTTCTAATCACTATTTCAATGTTCTGGAACTTTCCCTCTCAAACTCTATTTATTCGAGACAAAAATTTCATGACCTCATTAACTCTATCGAAATCTTCGCTACACCATGATACATTTATTCATCTTTAATCACCATCTTATGTATAAATATGTCAGTATCTGTAATAATTTTGAATTTCAAATAATTCAGGTTGTAAGCAGCTGATGAGAACCTAACGAAATAAAATGAATTCATATTATGGCGCATATATATTTGGTTCTCTCTTTTAGCAATATTTATGTGTCCGAATAAATAAATAAATAAATAAAAATAAATATTTAATAATATTTCATAGAATACAATGATGTTTATTTCATTGGGGTGTTAATGCATCGGTAATAGCATTATTTTCGGTTGTTTGACGTAAGGAAAAATACATAAATAGTGCGAAAATTAACTAATAATCATAATCGAATCGGAGGTAATATTATAATTTAGATGATATTAAATAACTTGAAATTAAATTAACAGGATTATTTCTCAACTAATTAAAAAGATTCATCATCTACGTCTGGTATCCTAGAAATCGTTCCAATTCTGGAGTCGATACTCGAACAAACTCCAGGATAAGCAGTCACATATATATTGCGCCAGAAAGCATCTCGCATTTTGACAAACTAAAAATACCTTTCATTCAATGTTTCTGAAGAACAATGGAGAGAACTACGCTCCTTGCAAAATAATAGAACGGTTGTCATCACCAACCAAAGTCTTAACAACAAAGGTCATGAACAAACAGACTATGAAGAAAAAGCCCTAAAACATCTATCTATGGGATCATTTATAAAAGTCGATTCAGAAAATCTTCAGATGTTTAACAATAAAGTTAGGCCAGAGGAAAGTGAACTTCTAAAAGAAATAAAGCCTTTTATTAGCGTTTCCTTATGGCTTATTTCATATCCCAAATCCAACATCACATCGCGATTTTATGGAATACCGAAGATTCACAAACCTGACATTCCCTTAAGACCCATAGTAGGTTTCACTAATACCCCCACATGTGCTTTATCTAAATATCTAAGCAGTATACTGAAGTCACCTATATAATGTCTTAAAGGATTTATCTGTATTTAAAACAAAGATCACGAAATTATCTATCAACGAGAACGAAACAATGGCAAGCTATGATGTTGTATCATTATACACTAGTATTCCAATTGATAAATGTCTGGACCTTATTAATGGCTTACTTGGGTATGACAATATCTAGCAGATGCCCATTAGGCATTAGTTCAGTCATGAAATCTTTCGAACTATGCCAAATTTATTTTAAACTATCAAGTTCGACTATGGTATTGATGCCTACAAACGATATTTATAATAAGAAAGTTGAGCTCATGTTTTTATTATAGGATCCTATTGACTAGTCTATCTCCAATTATGGATCAGACTGATTAGTAAGCACATCAAATGTATAAATCTTAAAGCCAGACATAAAAAAATTAACAAATACCGGTTAATCGGTCAGTTACAGTTTTGAAACTTCATTGAAAAAGTAAATTGAGACAAACTAATAATAAAAATTGGATATCCTATATTTTCGAAAGATATTTTTCAGCCAATTTAAAATCACTAAATCGTTTTCAGGAACTAGAACACAGGTTAACTTTGTATCCACAAAAATATTTCGTCTCTTGAATTTTCAAACTTTCTTCGCGTCCCTCACATTCTAACACTAGTATTATGCATGCGAAAGGTACGATAAAAGAACACAAGTGTGAAGAAATTTACACTAAATTACTGAGTGAAACACCATTTAATTTTACATGACAATGACGAAATTCGCACAGTTACGTACTGCAATATATCATCCATTAGACAAATGAATATAAACGTCTGAAGACAAATCTGAGGCTGAAGAAACTATAAGAATCTTAGACAACCTACAGACGCACGGCATCCGTGTCAATCTGAAGTCAACCGTCATGTTGACAAAGCTAAGATATAAACCAACAAGGGAAAGGTCAAACACATGTTCGTAAGTCAACTTGATAAAATGGTTAGCATAAATGAAGGTCATCAAAATAAACTGATCTTCAATTTGTGCAGAACTTTTGAGAGCTTTACTCTTTTTGAGGCTTGAGTTGCTTATGAGGTTATTAATGTAATTATTCCTTCATTTCCTATCATAATGTGAAATTTAGCAAATGGGAGATGTACATTTTCTTGAAGACCTAAGGTTTTAACATCTAGTAGTACCTAACTAGCTTACAAGGCCTAAAAGTATGTAGTTAGTACGATTACGTATAATAACAAGAAATCAAGCCTTTTACCTGTCCACCACTTCTTCCCCGGCCATACTGTCTTCCTTCCTCGAAACCCGCATCCCAGTCTGTGCGAATTATGCGATCATCTAATCGGGTTTTGTTAATGTATCTCATGGCCATTTCCGCACCGTCTCGTGTACAATATTCCACAAAACAAAACCCACATGGAGTTTTATCAAATCTGTGTAAGCCCATGATAACGCGCTTGATTTCGCCGGCTCGGCTAAATAGTTCCCAGATTTGTTCTTCACGAGTATAGAAAGACAAATTCCCGATGTATAAAGTGGTCGTTTCTTTTAGACATTGAGATAATTCCCGTGGAGTAAACTGAAATTAAATTGTAGTGAGGGTTATAATATAGTCACTCTTTTTAGTACAACAGCACGACAGCTAAGACATGTAACCATGAGATAATAGTGAATAAATTATAAGAATATCATGCCATCGATTATTAAGGCATGGGTTAGAATTTCATTCGACCTGATCCAGTTTGGAGAGCAGTGTGATTACCTCTCATAAAATGTAATTTAAACGCAATTTTAAGAAACCTATGGTTGGTGCACGAATCACATTGTTAAAATCACGGCAGCACATGACTTACCTTTTTAGCTATCAGCCTTTTATTTATTCTTCTCAGTGACTTTCACTGCCATCCTACAGCTAACCGTTGCAATGCTAACAAAATGGTTTCATCTAGTCGTGGGAATGATTAGATCCTAAATACCTCGTATTTTAGCTTTGAGTAGTGGTGCAGTTCATTGAGACACATCAACGCAGAAATTGTTGACTTGAAGGTGATATACTGACAAAACTTTTATTGCAGATCGTCTGACGTTTATGAAAATAGCTCTAAAATCTACCTACATGAATATATATATATATATATATATATATATCAAAATGAAGAGTTCGTGGTATGTATACTGAATAGTGTTTAAATTAAAACAAAATTTCAGCCGACGAACCAAGTTTAACCACGTTAAATGAACACGTTTACATGGCTTTAAGGAAATAGAGTAAGTTATATGAATAACCTGGTCAACACTAGTTCTATATCCATGTAGGAACGATCTGTTAGTATTTGCCAATTAGTTCCTTGAATCTATGAGTACTTCAGTGCTATTATTTTATCCAAGACTTATTTCAGAGTATATAAATTATATTCTGAATCCGCTTATTCCTCCCTAAATGTCACACAATATCCACAAAAACTGTTTCCACTTACGAGTGATGACCCTTATTTCGATATAATTTACCAAGAGAACGTTATTTTAAGTTCTTACGTGGGATTCGGGTAATAAACAGTTGTGTAACTAAAAAATCTGAGCATATAGTTCTGGCATAGCAATTTTGTTCAAAATACTGCGGATTTTTGAGACGCGATACCTAAGAACTAATTGGTAACATATGATGTATTGTATCTGATCACAGCTGCGACAGTAATTTTACAACTGATAAACGTGATTTCAGCAAGATATTTTTAAAGAACATATTTTGTGCCTTCGAAAGATTGCAAGTACAAAAACAATACTAAATACTTTGTTACGATCGGCTGTTATGAAGAAAAATTTGGCATCTCAACACTTACATCATTCCTTCTGTCACGGTACGGTGATTTATAAAATGAAGCATCTAAAATATCGCACACTGCTTTGTCTCTTGGCATACCGTACCGCGAGATTCGATAAACGCCAACGACCTGGAAGGTTTCAAACGTCCAATAAGTTTGTTATGAGTTTGGATAAACCAACTAGTTTCTTTGACCCTTCTTTCTGCCGAAAAAGGAAGATTGCCTCAAAAATTAAGTAAACTAATTGATCAGTTGTTAACTTATGCTAATTATCTACACTGTCATGAGCTTGTGTTTAAGATGCCACAGGTATTCGGAGTTTGACAACGCTTTAACCAGTAACATCTAATATGAAGCGTACCCAGCAAGTGAAATCAAAAGAAAGAAACGAGGAGGTTCGGGGATATATTTGATAGGTTATCAATATAGCGAGGATCGTCTGATCTAATCTGGCTAGCGATTGCAGGGGTTGTTGAGCACGGCGTTCCCACTCGTGATCTGCTGCGGATGCATGACCGAGCGCCTTCAGCTAGGTGAGTCCAATAAAACTGATGTGGTCATCATCCAATGTCGAAAACGTACAGAGCTATCTATTTTGGGGATTTATATACCGCTACAGTATAAACTGATTGATTTCTTTGATCTTATTTTTTATTGTATCGACACCGATCCGGGTGTTCGATAATGTCTGGTCACTCGATTGCATACAGTGTGAAAACACGGAAGTGTAAGAACCAGGCAGGAACCGAGATTATAGTAAGCGGTATTGGAATAAGTTAGTCGTATAGGATACTGACAACAGTGGGTAGACTCTGAGACATGCATCAGTCACATCTAATCCAAGCGGGAGACGGCAGTTCACAATTAAATACTGTTTCTCCAAATTTTCTCCTGAAGCTATCAACTGAAGCCTCCAATATTGCGGATACCACCACGCGATTAGATCAGCAACGACGAGAGATAGAATTGAGAAAAAATGGTCTAGGCAAATAGATAAGTGGGATCGATAATCATTACGGTACAGTGAGGAGAGTGAAACTAGTGAGCTTCACATCGTCTTGTGCAATTATCCATTGTCCCTAGCTGAATGTAATTCGTGGATTGGCACTCAATAGTTAGGTTATCCTTTGAAGTGGATATAGTTACGCCGGCTGAGAAAGAACTACAGAAAACACAGGTTTAGACTGAAAGGACGTGAAATTTTGAGAGATTGCCAGGTCTATGATGAGACATCATATGGCTGCGGTTTCGATCTCCATAGTTTCCTCAGGAAGGATAGCTTGTCTTCATATACTGGGCTGTTTGGTTGGAACATGTCCTACATGTAGTTGTTCTGGGGAAACCGCTTACCCACACCCGGGTTATAGAGTAGAATTGGGTGGAGAGCGATCTTGCTAGAAAAAAATGCTAACCGGAAAAACAAATTGAACCTATTAAACTCTACCCTGGAAGTTAATGAACCATTATTTAGGAGAGTTACGACACCTCGTGGTAAGCCCGAGGCTCTCCAGAAATTACGACACCGATGCCACTTCTAACAACCAAGGGCAACAATTAATTTAGGTACATAGAATGTCCAGAAAATGTGATAGAGTAGGAGGACTAATCAAACAGCTGTTGAAATAAAGCGATAAAACTTGACGGAATAAGTGGAACCCATTTAACTCAAGATGAACAGAAGGGATTAGATTCGAGAGGGATATCGTTGAACTGTGAACATAAATAATAAGCTGCTTCTCATACGCAAGGAGCCGCGCTAATGCTGCCCAAATGAGCTCGAAAAATATTTATGTATAGGGATCTCACGTTTCCAGTATCTTCAAAGCATCCTTCAAAATATGGAAGGGGAGATTACACTCAATGTTACCCAGTGTTATGCTCTCACCAATGAAAACAATGAGGACAATAAAGCTCAGCGTTATGAGAGGCTGCAGTCGACTGTAGAGAAGTGCCCAGGAAAAGATCTGACCATTGTGATAGAAGACCTAATCGCTCAGATCGTATTGACATCCTTGGGTATGAAGATACCATGAGACATGGACTAGGAGAAAGGGACAATAATGGTGAGACACTCGCAGGTTTATGAGCATTCAATAAAATGGTTATTGATGGCAAAAACCACATGTGTCTCGCCGAATCACAGTACAGTGAACCAGACCTACCATATTCGCATCAATATAAATTCAGAAGGTTAACGGAAGACTTGAAAACCAGGAGAGGAACTGACACAGCTTCAGATATTATGGTTGCCAAGATGAAACTGAAATTAAGGAAGCATAGGAGAACTGGAGAAACAGCATTAAAAAATTCAATACAACCTTCCATCGAGATACTGACAAACGCAACGAATTCAAGATAGCTCTCAACAACGAGTTCCATGAGTCACAACATCTACGAGAAGACGAAACCTGAAATGATTTCTTCAAGACACCTGTACAACAGTGAGATGTTTGTGAATAAACATGGCAAGAAAAAATTATTATGAAGGCAAACTAGGAAGAGATGAAATAAACAATAACTTCGATGTTTCAAGGCACGTCAGGCCCCAAGAAGCACCAGCGCAAAGAATAGAGCTCTATTACTGTCCTGTGTAATATTCAAGACAGCGATTAACATTAGTTGAAGAAGAGCACAGAAAGCTAAGGTACAAGGGTAGTCACAGATGTAGACAAGATAGTGGAGAAGTGCATTAAAGCTGGCAAGCTAAAATACGTATAAGACATTGTAGAATCATGGTCTAGTTTGATATTAGTACTACTATAATAAAAGACATAATTCGGAAATCGTAGATTTGTTATGATGTGATTTTTAATCTATAAGATCTTATGTGGACATCTCATCATTGTCTGAACTGACTCGTCTGGTCGTGATCGTCAGCAGTACGACGTCTATAATTTCCGAAAAAAACATATGAGCTTGGAAGAGAGCAATATATTTGATGGAAAAACCAAGAGGTTATGAAGGGTGACCACATGAGCATGACCGAACCATGCCATTTCGATTCATTGTCGCTGCAATCACACTTGCTGACTTTCTCTCCGTCTTAAATGTTGAATATGATTTCTCTCATTTTTCTCATGTACACCTTCGAGGCTCATATGGTTGGCATTAACAATAATATTAATATTATGGGACCATCTTCGACGTAAAGACGTACCTGGAAAGATCTACCTTATCGAACAGAATTCTTACAACAGACTACACTATAAAACCATTCATGGAGGACAGCTCAAAGGTGCACTCCACGTGAAACCAATGTCAGAAAAGGCTACCTAAATTTCCTTTTTCTATTCCGACTGTTGACTGGATTATGAAGACCGTCAGGTCTGAAGGGAAGCATGGAATACAGTAGACAGCCTGGGTGCAACCAAACATTTTGGATTTTGCAGATGACCTGGCTCTTTCGTCCCATACACAGCCACAAATGTGTATCAAAACAGTCAACGTTGTAGCAGCCTCTGAAGAAGTAGACCTCAACATATAAAAGGGCAAAAGCAAGATCCTCAAACATAGCACGGAGAACACCATCCCAATCACATTAGATAGAGATGCTCTGGATGACGTGATAATGTTCAAATAACTGAACTGCATCGTCGAGGGACAAGAAGAGTCTGATGCTTAGATGGTGGTTGGAGGTAGTCAACAGGAAACCCTGGACCCGGGTTTCGTGCTACTTGGCACTCGTCAGCAAGGTGTACCTGTAATCTTGAGGGAACTGGTGCTCCCTGGCGGATTCGATCTCGTGTCACCCAGCTTCACAGTCAGAGACGTTACCACTGAGCTATCCGAGCCGCAATTGATTGATCACATTGCCACATTGCAACATGATCGATAGGATTCGATCTGCACTAATAAGGACTAGAGAAGCATGACATTGATCACCACCCAGTGATCAATCACTTGTGAGAGTCTGATGCGGATGTAAAGATATTTATTAGCAAATTCAAGGAAAGGATCCCTAGAGTTGAAGATTTGGAACCCGCAACAACTGTCAATCAATATCAAAGTCACAATCTTTAATACGAATGTCCAAAAAGTCCCACTGTACGGAGCTGAAACTTGGAGAACGAGCACAATTATAATCAAGCAAGTATTTACAAACAATTTTCTATGCAATATACTCAATTTCTGTTGGATGAATGTCATTAGTAAAAGCCTAGTGTGGGAGAGAGCACATCAACCTCCACCTGAAGGAGAAATTCGGAAAAGACACTGCAGGTGGATAGGATATACATGAGGAAACCATCAAACTGCGTTACGAAGCAAGACTTAACTTGGAATTCCGGAAGAGAATTGGCACCAGCAACTTTGAAGCCCACTTCCGTCAATGATTTTATTTTCGTTACAAGTGGTCTTGCTCAGCATGTTAAATGATAACACTCATAACTGTTGTGCTCGTGCTCTAGTAATCACACATAAACCAAAATTCAAGTCGGAAAGAGCTCCACATATCACACCCGCAATGTCTGATTACATGTGCCATAAAAACACATGGGAAAATCTCTCTGCACATGTATTTCCCGTTGACCAATCCCCTGTCCCATTTTCAAACATTTCATTTCTTTTGTTGTTGACTGTATCTACGAATATTTTATTTCCCTTTTGATTTTTTTGCAATGGTTACTGAAAACTATGTTTAACTCTTGGATGCTATTATGGCTTCGACAACTGTTTCACTCCTGTTCTACTCATAGGTTTTTAAGTCCTGAAGGCCTCCTTACATATTTGATTTTCTAGTTATCAGCAAAGTTTATTATTTTGAACGGTTGATTGCCGATTCGGATCCATTTCATTGATGGCAATTTTGTTTTTTGAACATACTGTCCCAGGGTTGTTGGGAATTTTTTTGCTGATCGTCTGATAAGTATTGCACATTCTCTGTATTATTGGCTTACTGTTTCGTCGTTAATTTTACAAGTTTGTTGTTATTACAGGAAATCTACCTTCTAAAAATATATAAAGCTTGTTTAGTTGACTACACTTCTCCATTCAGTAGGACTCATATACATTGTTTTGTGCAGCTTTTCAAGTTGCTATTCGGAATTTGACATCTAACTGAGGGACATTACTTCATTCTTCTTAATCCAGGTTTCGATGCATTATCGGAAACTTGGGATTTCATAACACCTGAAAAACAATTCT